GCAAGAATCTCAGTATAGTAAATATCACCTTAATTGTTTTACTAATTTTTTGAAAGGTAAGATGATCACAAATTTACAACACTAGATATAAGCACCTCATATTTACGTAAAGTATTATACAAACTATTGATTTATTTTCGCAAAAAAGAAAAATGAAGCTTTTGCTATAAAGCATAGTGCTGTACCCATTTTTACTTAATACTTACTTAGTGGCTTAGCAGGAAGTCAGATGTGAAGAAATTCCGTGGCTATCTGCGTCAGACAATGTAAGTTCCTTATATTATTAAAACTATAATATCTTATTGTAAAAAAAATCTTATCAGTTTATATTGGTTCCGGAAGGGAGTAAGAATCATTGAATTTATTTAAAAAGAAATTAGATACTAAGTACCTACGCTGAATGCATTATTATGAACTTAAATGAAAGTAGTTTCTATTGGATCCTGAAATTATAGTATAAAGCTTAAGGTAGGATCCTCCTCTGGTTTCTGACTAGATGGAATATTCAAAATACATTTGTTGATATGTCTTATATATTTAGATGTAAGAGATTTAAAAAACCATATTTTTCTTTCCTCGTCACAATTATACAACTTTAAATAGAAATGGTAAACTGCGTTTGAAAACTAGCAGGGACTATATTTTTGGCGGAATGGTGGCGTATGAAAATATCTTCTTTTCTGCCTCTCAAAATTATTACAGAACATTGAATTTAGTTATAAGTTCTACGCAATCAAAGACTAGACGAAATTTTCAAATGTAAGTTAAATTAATAATAAGGGACTAAAGTTTCAAATTATATCATATAAATAAGATTTTTCACACATACTAGAACTATTTTGGTTTTTAAATGCTTTAAATCTGAGTACAGTTTGAGCCAAAAATCCATAAAAAGTATTATTCCTCTCTTAGTAAACGATCAAAACTTTTAGTTTTTGTATCATTTTGTACCTTTATGTAACAACTTTACTGTATGCGAAAATTGGAAAAAGTTATATATAGGAAACATATAAAGATAACTAATAAATCCTTAAAAATTAAGAAAAGTAGAGGAAATTCGGATTAGCACATATCCATTTTATTTAGATTTTCTATGTCAATTTGGCAATATCATCTTATAGGCCTTATATGGTAGTATCTTTTATGCAAAAAGAAAAACATTCAATCTTTTGAATTACAAGTAGGGATCGCATGATTGGAAACATTATTTTTGTATTCTTAATGTCCAGGAAAAAGGTAATGACCTTGACCTGACCTTGTCTCTAATATTAGACGGTCAAATTTAATCTCACTGATATCATCATTTAGTGATATTGTCCTCTTGATTCTGTGAAAATTTCATTAATTTTTAAATACAAGAAATGTGAGAAGAATCCTACCTTAAAGTAAAGTTTACTTAGAATTGTAACTCTACATTTAATCTTATTCCATTCAGAACAATAAAAGACGACCTTTTATATATATATCCTTATTAATTGTTAAGTTTTTTAAGAGAGAAGAAAGAGTACTATTTTTTCGATAATTAGCTGTCCACAAATTTTTAAAAGGTTTCTACAAAAAAAATTGTTCAATGTAAAGACTGGATACTGTTGCCATGGAACTTAAAAGCTGGAATTTTATTTAAAGTGGATTTTTCTGCAATTTGTATATCTAATTACGAATACATGATATTGATGTGTAAATTTCCAAGTTTCTGGGTTTAAATATCCAAGATAGTTGATACTTCCATGTAACTAAAAATAGGCCAAATTCTAGAAATTCGAAAACGAAAATTTCAGAGAGTATAAATTTGCTTTCTGCTTTCAATTTTTAAAGCAATATATGAGCTGCAAATTTGACATGGAAAAATTTTGTTGCAAATTTGTAGTCAACTATTTCAATGACAGAAAAATAGTACATTTAAACTTCTGTTGTTCATATTTGCGAAAGAAGAACTTTGTATAAGCATTAATAGAAGCAAAATTACATTACTGTCGTCCTGCACGATATTGATTTCTTATATAATGATATATATTCGATTGTACGGAAATATTTCTCCTGAAACAATGAAAAATTTCATTTTGGTTTTATTAATCATAAAGGGTTTTAATAAAATACAAATTAATTATAATAACACATTTTAACAGCAAAATTAATTTTTCAAACATGCAGCTTATATTGCTTTAAAACAAATGTGACGTCGCTGGTGTCAAGGAGACAAACCAATGCTTCGGTTTCCATGAGTAATGTTCCTTCGTGTTTTTTTTCTTCTTCCCATTTGAAGAAATACTTGATTCAATTACACGAAAAATGGTCTCTAGATGCTATCAATTATAAATTTGACATTTTCTTGAAATTTTTTGTAATAAGCAAAAAACTAAAGATCAAATCTGGATGGAGGGCAAACAAAGTATTGAATCTTTAAAGGTGTTTTGTTGAACGCTTTTTTAAAAAATCTTTACTACAAGGTACCGCAAGAATAAAAGAGGTTTTGAGAAGTCAAATCATGTTTCTGTACAAATTTTACCATTTCTTTAATGTTCAACATTGACTGACAAACAATATATGGAGATAGTGAAAAGTATTCAAGTTCAAAGGTCTCGTCCAACTAAACAATTCAGGAGCAGGGCAAACTGTCTCTCTAAAACCTAAAACATCAAAGTTGGGATCAGGTGTTATGGAGGAGTGAACGCCTTCTAAACGATCAAACCGACGCATGCTCCTTGTCGTACCGGTAATTGGGAATAGCGAGAAAATCCGTCGACAATTCAGTGTGTAAATTTTGGCCTAACAATACTTGTAAAACTTGACATAATCATTTTTGGGGTTTTGAACAATTCTTTCAAAATATTTTAAATATGACTTTAGCATTAATAGAGAAGGAGAAAAGGGGGGAGATATTTGAATATATTGTGAGAATTTCCGGGGGGATTTATATTGGAGTATCGATTTGGGGACGACAACTGGTATTGAGGAAAACCCTACCCTTTAAGATCGATCTTGTTATTTGCAGGAGCATATACATATACATACAGACCCTGTATAAAACTTATTGGCTTATTAAAAAATTGGCCTACTCGCTAAAAAGCGTGTAAATCTAACGAAATCATGATATCTGGCAAAAAGGAATGGTTATGATGAAAGTCCCGTTGATCTAACCAATATACATACAGCTCATGGCGGGTGTGACCAAACAACAGGGGATGCTTACTCCTCCTAGGCACCTAAGAACCAATTCCTTGATATGATTTGCACACTGTTTTTGCCAGAAACAGAAAAAGTTTCTCGGTTAAAAATCAAATGAAATACAAATATTTTACAATTGCTTAGCAGACACTCAATGCGTCTGTGTCCTTGCCCAGTTCACGAGGCAAGTTATTGACAATCAAGTTGATGAAACAAAAGAATCAAGAGAGCCCCTTTAAAATCTTCTCTTCGCAAGTTCTAAGGTCGATACAATGACCTTGACAACAAATTTAATCTAGCATTAAGTCAAATAGCCGACATTTTCATACTTATTATTAAGCCATTACTCCAGTATTTACACAGTCTACGGATTTTTTTTTATGTCAATAAGTAATTTTGTACATTTTACTTTTACTTTGATGTTTCAGCATCTGTATTGTATTTAACAATTTTGACATCTCTCCCCCTGCCGCCCCACAGTATCAGTGACAGTATTTTGAGTTTCATTTTTAGTGTATAAAAGCCTGAGCATTTCCTCTACCGAGAATTCTGTTGAAATTCATGTTTTATATTTTGATGTTGCATTTGAGTTCTGTATTAAGTCTTTCATCGGCTATCTTTATAATTGTGAGAGGAGTTTAGGGAAAAGAGATGAGATGTGATGTGTGTTTGAGAATTGAGTCTTGGTTTAAGTATTTTCATGAATAAATATTGAAAAGAAACAGTAGTGACGAGTGCTTTTTTCAAAGTATAATTTACAACGTCACAATTGCTGGAGAATCTTGGTAATAGCAGAATTCATGAAATACGATCGAGAAAATGACTTTTATAAAAAATGTTTGTTGCTAGACAGCAGGCACTAGAATCCGAGCCTGATGAAGAGACAATAGAAAGAGATACCAACAGATACGTACAGAAAGATGATTATTAGATCTGAAATGGCAAGTGAACTGAATGCGACCATACAAGAACACATTACAGTAATCAAGGAAGAATCGAACGGGAAAACAACGACACAAAGAAAAGTAGTGTATTTAAACCCGAGAAATTGTCCGGACAAGAAAATGATATTAACCTTTGGATCTCTCTATTTAAAAGCTGGGCCAAAATTTCCGGAATTCATACAGATGCGGAAGCAATTTTTGATGCACTGAAGTTGTTAGTGCCAGATTCCGATGTCAAATGCCTGGAGAAGAGTTTGCATCTGCAAACGATTTATACGAACAATTAGCATCTAGCACTTTAACAGTAAAACTCCAATATGGCTTCTGGAGCAAGACCATGTCAAAACCATAAACCCTGGAAGACTACATTAAAGACATTGAGAAGGTTTGTACCAGACTTCAAAAGTCAGAAAGGGAGAAAATGACGGTTTTTGTTAGAGGTCTGCCACTAAACTTCAGGATCTATGTTGTGCAGAATAACACAGAGACTTGGGAGGAGACGATGAAGAGAGCCCGTCTGGCGCAAGAAGCAAGCTCCTTGGAAACGGTTAAGCATTCTCCCAAGGATTTTGAATCTATCGTCACTGAACAAACCAAGTACAATTAAGAATTAACCAAGGCTGTGGGTGTGCTTCAGTCCCAGTCCACCGTGTGTCCGATAGGAGAGCCAGCGACAAGAGAGGCACAAGTCCGGTGTCAGTTATGCTTTATGAAGGGCCATTCAGCACGTGAATGCCGCAAAAATAACCGAAAATTCCGTGAGGATACGACCACAGGGGCATCTTATCCACTGTGTTCTCTACTTCACATATAAAAATACACGTGTATTTTTATATGTGAAGTAGAGAACACAGTAGATAAGATGCCCCTGTGATACGACCATAACGAGTGAGACCCAGTAAGACCGGGGAGTTACTGGGTCATGTGAAATTTCCGAATCCCCTATGAAGTCAACAAAATTTGAGGGAACTATTTCTCACACCGGTAAGACACCAGTATCTAAAATTAACAATAGTGTTTTAGTAACACCAGTAGGTCTTTTGAGAAATTTTGTACCTATGCGAATTCAAGAACATCATCTTTTTGCTATGGTTTATACGGTTGCAGACATGTTGTAAATGAAAACATTCTTTGTAAATATGATTTTATCAAAACATTTTGCAATATTACAAAGTGCGAGAAGCAATTTATTGTAACAACAAATAGTGAGAAATTTCTATCGATAAAATGTAATTTGTTGATTTTTAATGACTGATTTAGTTTAGGTTTAAATTTTTTGCATGCAAACAACGTCACCATTCAATTTGGTAGCTGAAGTGAAATGTTTCCACCTAAAGATACATGTACGAGCATTTCCTGTCCTGAGAATTATGTTGAAATTAATGTCAACCATTCTTTTTTTAATGTTACATTTGAGCTCTGTATATTTTCATTGGTTATCTGTATAATTGTGGGAGGGGTTTAGGGGAAAGAGATGAAATATGATGTGTGTTTGAGCATTGACTTTTTGTTTTAGAATGTTAGCTAGTGATTGTAACTTTTTGGATTAGACTGAAACGAAACATGTAGTGCCGAGTGCTATTTTGAAAGTATAATTCACCCCCTCACAATTATGACAAGGGGCACACGACATGTGTAACGTGTAGGTAGGGGATGCACATTCCTTTAGAGCACCTAATATACCCCCTTCTTGGTTTTGGAGGTCTGTGTTCTTGATAAATACACGTTCGATCGTAATATGCACATTGCCATTGCAATCTTCATAACAAAGCTTATCAGCAGCCCATAGAGACAAAAAATGAAAATCATTTTTTGCTACCATTTATTCTAATTGCATACATGCATTGATTTTACCTACAATACTCTAAATCAAAGGACTGCAGATGCTTCAAGAATATCATATAATTAGATATTCTATATCTTTAATATATTGCAAAGATTAAAAAATGTAATGCCTAATTATTTAGTGGATAACAAAACTCTCATTACTGTATTCATTGGAAATATGCATGGATATTGACATCGTTCACCTTGAGGATTCGAAAGTTCCACGTGAGCGTTAAAGACTCCACAGACACACTGCCACATCTGTTTTATAATTAATGAAAAGGATAAACAAAACGATCAGTAATGGATCTCAAAAAGTCTTAAAACAATACAAGTATGTGAAGACGGAATAAAACACGGACCTTGGAAATTCCAGAGGCGGGTCTTGTTGATTAATCACACCTAATGATAGGTTATATTTTGGGGAAAAAAGTCATATAACAACCATATTTATTAAATGCTGACTATAAACGAACCTGTTAAAATCCCTGTAACATCAACTTTTCAGTGAGTAGCCTACCTGTCTCGCTTTAAACATTGATGAGACTATTATAAGAGGAAATTCCTAGTAGTGAATAAGTTGGGAGACATAAAAAAAAAGTTAAGCAGGTGAATATGATTGGAATATTACTAAATAAATAAGACAAATTACAAAAAGCAGCGACTTTACAGTTGACTGTTTACTTTGACATCATTCAGCAAACCTAGTCTGATCCATTCGCCTTCGAGGTAATTAATAGTTAATTAATTAACATTAATAGTTATGGTATTTTGGACACTATATATAACATTATATTTCATCGCAAGCGATGACTGGAGGTAGAATAAAATTACTTAAAATACCTTATTCATGATATATTGATTGAATGTATGTTTTTTACGTCCCATTCGAGAATTATACACTCATGAATTTGTTAGCATTTGTACGCTGATTTTACATGTACAATGTACACATTCTAGCTTTTCTATATGTGAATTGAAGAGATGTTTTATCCTACTCCGACTAAAAGAGTTATTTTCTAACCATTTCAAATATTCATGCTATATGCTAACTTATTCATTCGATGAAGACTATAATCTTGTAACTCTAATCAGAAAATGTCTTCATAGTTTCTGCTTAGTAGTACTCTCGATACCAATCTTGCAGAGGTTAAAAAAAATCAAAGTTCACCTGAGGTTTTAGTCTGAGGTAAAGTTCTTTCTTCAGCTACCTGAAATAAATCACGCATTAATTTGGATATATCAACTCATCCCTAGAGTTTTTTAAGGTGACAAATTAAACTAAGTAAACGAGCGAAATAAACACGTTGTTCAGATATTAACGAATCTGAATAATCTTTTTTGTTTGTAATAAGAGTAGTAAGTTATGCCTACTTACCTAACATCCTACATTGACACGCAGTATACATGTAAATAGTTATAAAATGACTACAATCGATCAGCTAATTCTGATATTAGCAATAAAGAGACCTTAACGAAGCACCATCTTCTATGAAATCATATCACACTATCTTCTTCCTCGGTCTCCTCTTACATTTTGAGAAGTAGCAAATTCATATTTTGGCATATGATATTATCACTGGGCAATAAGATTTTCAAAATCATTTTTAGCCGGGCTTATTGCTCAAAGAGCAATTGCCGGCACCGACACCGGCTTATGTGATCCTGTTCAAGGCAGGATGTTGACCCCATAGTCGCCATTTTAAAGTTACGTACAAAAATATAGTTCTTACTCTCAACCGCTTTTGAGATAATACAAACGCTAAATAAAGCAATACAAAAATAAAACGAAGTTTTATCTATATAAAATAAACATTAGTAGTAATGACTTTGAAAACTTCATAAGTCAAAGAACATAGTTGATTAGCGTAAGGATTTTTGATAATCAGTGTTACCGTAGTTCTCTACACATACGAGGTAAAGCAGGAGAGGGAACCAGACTGGCCTGTTTGTTTACATTCAGCTGCGGTACCAGATTAATTCTGATTCTGACAAAATCGGACCGTGGTATTTGGATTGAAAAACTCACTGTCAGTGTCTTATCATTTATATTGATAGTTTTAAAATAATTTTTTCATCAGAATATAAACGTGATTCATGTAAGAAATCCATTCTACTCTGGAAATGAGCCCGGCTCTTTGTACTTCTGAGTACTTTGATTCATACTATGCAGGTGTCAATGGGGGGTCGATCTAGATAACGTCCTTCTACACTTACTTTTCCTCGGAATTCAGCGACATTTTTACCAATAGTCAGTTTAACTTTTGGAATATGATAGGTGTTGTTCTGATGATATGCAATAAGGTTTGAAAATAATTTTTCTTCCTTATTTTTTTAAATAACTGTTAAGGACAACGTAGTTTGAACTTTTCCCATGGAGTTGAAGAGTTCCAATTTTTGAAAGAACTGTGTTCTATTTTAATGTCAAAGTCTATATATGGTGTTGTACACTCCTTCAAAACAATTTTAAATAAAAGAAACATCTAGAATATAAGTTTAGTATTTTTTATATATTTTTCTTTGAATCATCCAAGAATTTTCATCAACTGATATCTTTCAAAGAACCCTGGTAATACATGCTGATTTTTTGTCTGTGAATATCTAATGACACTATAATCTTAATTTAGAAATATTTTGAAAATCTATTAGTAGGTAAGGTATATTGCGTATGTTCTTAAGCAGTTGCCAACTCATTTTAAGAAAACATGATCGGTACACTAGTACTCTTTTCGTTTTCGATGTGCAATAAGGTTTGAAAATATTCATGTTCTCTCTGGCGACGAATTTGTGGTCGAAAAGTTAAGTTTTACGATGAGAACTTGATTCCCAGAATCCCTCTTTTTATTTATATGCAGTAGCAAATCCATAATTTGGATTTGCTGTAAATCTTTCTTTTTTTTTTTTTTTTTTGGTTTTTAATCAGGGCATATGTTTAGGAGATTTGGTTTGTTTACCTAATGTTGCATACTTTTGAACTTACACCTTATAGATTAAAAAGTTTTTTCTGTTGTGCAAATATAGTGCGTGTTGGATAAGCAACGTAATTTAATGCAATATTTTAGGCGATTTTCTCTTTGTTGTTAACCATTTATTTCAATTTAATTTTCTAGAATGGTAGATCCAACACTTGTGTACAGACGTTACCATGGGTACGTCAGCAGTCTGATTTGCTTGACAGGTATTGTAGGAAACATTGTAAGCTGCATTGTATGGAATCGAAAAAAGTCCCAAAAGCCTACCTTCTTCATATTATCCTTTTTAGCTGTTGCAGACACACTTTGTCTCCTGATGTTTCAAATTTATGTCGTCTGCTTCTTCATGATGATGTCGCCTAATGACGAAGAAACCTATACCGAGGCGGGAATGTATATTGTGATGATAAGTTTCCATTTGTTCATTGCTTTTCATATGCTCTCCACTTGGTTCACGATTACGATGATGATTTTCCGGTACATCAAAATTGTGAAACCTACACTAGCGTCGAAAGTCTGCACCATCAAACGCGCGAAAATCTCCATCGCAGTCGTAACTGTCACGGTCCTTCTGGCCTCAGCAGCAAACTATCCTTTCTACGGAGTTCAAAAAATCAATCAAGGAAACTCAACAAATGCTACCATTTATTTTCTTATGCCAACGGCATTCACAAAATCCCATCCCGAATATCCCACTCTTTTGCTGTGGATTTATGGAGTGGTGGTAAAAATAATCCCCATCATGACCATCGTGATTCTGTGTAGCTTAATCATTTGTCATGTTCAAAACGCCAAGAGACGGGTCCAAGACATCACTCAGAATCTCTCGTCGGCCGAAGCCTACAATCAAACAAGCCTAATGTTGACCGTCATTGCATTCATTTATGTCCTTACTGAACTTCCGATTGGTATCATGTCGTTTATTTCTGGTTTCCATGGAGACGACGGGCATCTATTTTACTTTTTGCTATTTTCGGGAGTTGGAGACTTGCTTGATTTATGTACCTTGGTCAACAGTACCGTAAACTTCTTTGTATATATCTCTATGAGTGGTGAATTCAGAAGAATTTTTTGTAAGATGATAAAATGTAGCTAAATCAACAAGTAAATATAGTATCAAGAAAAAAAAAAAGAGACATGCCTTGGAATAGTTACGGTTTCTTTTTCTTTTAGGTTTTTGCACATGTATTGCAAAAATGAAAGATTAGTTTGTTTTGCGGACAATTTTGATCTTTTTTGAGGAAGTTTCCAATATTTGTTTTATGAGTCACACCAAATTCTCCAAAAAAAGTTTTGCAAAAATGATATGGTGACCAAAAAGAAAAAAATTTGTGACGATTCAAACTATTTTTTGATTATGGGTCACCCAAATCAAAAATACATTTTTACTCTGGGAATATAATTTACTTCCAAATTGTACATTTGGAGTTTGAAGTGTAATTTAATTTAAAGCAATATTAGCTGGAACTTTGATGTAGGATTTTTTGTTAAAAATTGTAAATAACTGTTTCAATGATAGAAAAAATAACGTTAATAAACTTCTGTTGTTCATATTTGCGATAGAAGAACTATTTATAAGCTTCGATCGAATCAAAATTACATTACTGTCGTCCTGTACAATAATGATTTCATATATAAAACTGTATATTGGATTGTGCATAGAAGTCTTTCTTCGCAAAATAAAATTTTCAAGAATGCAGCTCATATTACTTTCATCATACTTTCTTGTATACCGAGAAAGAAAAGACTCATTTAACAAGAATAACTGAGTACATTGAAGAATTTTCACACGGAACCTATCGGGAATTCTCACCTGAAACATAGTCTTCTTATTAAGGGTTTTCTTGGATTACACGAATTGGAAACACACCCGTCAGATCAATTTTTTAAGATACGCGAAAGCATATTACTTTTGCTGCACACCCATGTGATTATAAGTATCATGAAAAAGCCAGACGCAATATGACCAAAGGCTTATAAAGTCTGTGTTGTTTTTGTATTGTAATTTATAAGTGATGTTTTTATTCATAGTACACATGTACTAAGTCTTGATTCCACATAAGGATAGAAAACAGGGGTTGTTTTTGATTTTTTACAGATATACAGCGATCTGTTAAATGTTTCTTACAGCACAATGATCTATGGAATAATACAAGGTAACTGCTTTGATATCCTAATTTTGAGATAACTTTGTAATTTAAATCAATTTTTTTAATATCTAATGTACGTTTTCTATGGGTGCTCATATGGTATAGATTGTTGTTTGTTTTTTTTTCAGATTTCTGTATATGTTTATAAAATATGCTTTATTTTCCAATAAAAGCTATCAAATTCAACATGGTGTTTGATGTATGGGTGAAAGTAGCAGATTTTTCTTTTTATTCATGGTCAAAAGCATTAACATACCCAGTATAATTCTTGTTATAACTTTTCCAATGACTACTCATTCAACGACGCACAACATCACAACATATACACTGTTATAAACTGGGTTTATTATAAAGATTAAAAATTAAATCTAGTAATCCCATCAAAACATAACATTTAAAAAAAACATCTTCCACACAATTTGACCAGATTTTGGAAAAAGGTGTTAACGGCAATCTTAACAACCAAGCTTTATGATAAACATGATGACTTAAACTTTCCAATCAAGAATTTCAGCAGTCTCGTTTAAAGTCATCATTTCTTACGTTCTATGGTCGAAACAATGACCTTGTCAGCAAATACTATACAATTATGGACTCTTTTGGTGTTGAATATGATTTGTTATTCACCAGAAAAATATTAATATTGACCGAGGCGCGCCCTGTCCCTCTGATGAATACTGCCTCAAATCCGGTGAATATGTCTTGTTATGAACTGTTTGCACTGGCATAGATTATATAGGGACTATAAATAGACTATATAATAAAATTTATTATTATGTCAAATGCTGACTGGCGTTTTTTCATACTTATTGTTAATCCATTATTTACACACTGAAAACTTGACAACGTATTTTTCTATTATTTCCCGATCATAACAATGAGCACACGGCGAGTTTGACCGGTCGACAGGGGATGCTCACTCCTCCATGGCACCTGGCCTGGGGGGCCATAAAACTTAGACAAGCTCACTTTTGATCTCAGTCTCATTTTTCCACTATATATTCCTTTGGAAAAAGAGAGACTGAGATCAAAAGTGAGCTCATCTAAGTTTTATGGCCCCCAGGCCTGATCCCACCTCCGATGTTTTAAAGGTCCGTGTTTGCTCTGCTCCTATTTTGCATTGTTTTATGGACTTTTGAATATTGTTCTGCTCGTTCTCTCCACATGTTTTATTTCCCTTACTTATGCTGCAATATACCCTTTCCATCTGCATATGGGGTTTATATATCTCGATTTATTCAATGCACAAAAGCATGCCCTTCGTATGAACAATTTCTAAAACGAGTTAAGTTATTGACAAACAAGTTTGATTGATTGTAGGCTGTTTACGTCCCATTCGAGGATATTTCACTCGTATAGAGACGTCAAAGAAGTTTGATGAAACAGGAATATCAACGGTATGATTGGTAGGTCTTTACAGATTGCATTATCGACGAATTTTTCCATGTGCAATCAGCACACGGCAGTATTAGGCAGGGGGTCTTCACTCAACTAAGGGACCTGATCCCACCTCTGATGTTTTCGAGTTCCGCGTTTGCTCTGCTCCTGATTTCTATGTTTAAATGAATTTTTGAGCTTAAATTTTTTTCGTTTACCGTTTACTCCATGTATTTCATTCCAAAACTCTCCTGTCGATTAAATTGACTTAAAAACAATGAAGGTGATCATAAAAGGCCGTGTATGCTTTCTTATAAATACTTGACTGTGCATCTGACAACTGTGATTTCAATAACAGTAATTTTTGTAAGTGAGTGCTATTATGGCTTATATATAATTACCCCTCCCTTTGAAAACTACATGATTTTGTATAAGAAACACAATTAAAGGCTTTTCCACCTGTAAGTGGTAGTTATATTACGACAATATCCTCTAGAGAAAATATACCAATTAAATGCAAATTAAATACAACAAAATATACCTTACAGTTAAGTACAAAAACCAGTGTTAATTCTTTATATATTAGGTTTACATCGAGGTCATCTAAATGTTCATCTCCAGAGCATGATTTGACAAAATGAAAAAAAAGCTGACAAACTATCTTAAATACTTTACTCTTACTTTTAAATGCACAATGTGAAATATAAAAATCATACACTGAGTATAATAGCTCTGCTGCATGTATATTAAATAGCAGTGCTAGTCGTGAGAGGATCTAAATATTTGATTTTTATAAAATTGATTTTTTTTTTCTCATGGAGGATAACTTCAGTGTATATTATGAAACGTTTACGTTGATATTTGAATACATATGACTTTCTCCTAACATTTATATTGTCGAAGGAACCATGCATTAAACTGGCTGAAATTAAGTGAGCTATTGTAGCGGACAGTATATAAGGAACTTATACTGCCTCGCTCGTGAGCTGCTTTTCTAGTGATGCGGTAGAGTCTCCCTTTATTTCAGACAAGTTAAGCAACGGCGAGCCTGTTTGACCCTTGAATGGGTGACCGCTTCACGTTACACTATTTCAGTCGTGTGATATTGTACCCGTCAACCCGGCACTATAAATAAATAAAGCATTAAAATTTTGTTATACTTTAAAATTGTTTTCTTAAATTCATGGCGCAGTGGTTAGAGCGTCTGCTCTTGAGTTGCGAAGTAATTAGGAGTCAAGCATTACGTCGCAGGTTCGAATCCCACTGTGGGACGTGGAGACCGGTCCATCGGATGAGATCGTTTAATCAGAGGCCCCGTGTCGCAGAAGGTGCTGGCAAGAAAAAGACCCATCACAGCTCAATGGTTCCGAGTGCCGAGTATTGGAAAAATTTGTAGAGTCCACCGGCGAGTGGTGGCGTCTCCATAATATGATTGAAAAATCCTAGAGAGGGACGTAAAACGACAATCAACCAATCATGAATTCATTTGATACCGGTAATACTATATTTGATCTCTATTTAATTGTCTGATGTGCCATATTGAATTGAATTGATCTCTATTTAATGTCTTGAACTGGTTTATGTAGAAAAAAAATAGATTGGTGGGGTTCCTATATTAATCATTATCATACGATATGTCTTTTAGAGGTAAAGGATCACGACCGACTTAGTCCTTACCCTCGGTGCTTTGTTCCTTGTTCAAAGGGGCGTCAACTTTATTTTGTAATTGGCCAAGTTTTCCTTTGACAACAAGATGTGTTAGCACTCCGCGATGGTAACACAGTTCTGGTTTTTGACACCCCATATAAGAAAAAAACACACAACATCAGGAGTCCTGAAATTGATTAATTAAGTCGAAAATTTTGAATTTTGTAAATTTCTCCAAATAATTCTGTACAGTAAGTTATAATATATTGGGTGTATTTTAAGCATTTAATCCCTTGTTTTTGCTTAAGAATAGATATTTCTTCTATTTAAGCAGTTAAGTTAGATCAAATCATTTGAAGGGCGTCATTTTTATGACTTTTAAGCCTGTGTTTTATGTTTTGGCTTGTGTGTTTTTCGTATAGGTAGGTAGGTTTTTGAAAGATGGGTGGACGCTAAACAGACAAAAAACTTGGAATGGCCTTATTTTGTAGAGGGTAGCTGGCACTAGCCCCTCAATTTCCTTTGACAACAAGATGTGTTTTTGAAACACTATGCCCCCGATGATAACACAGTTCTGGAGTGGGATGAAGACTGAAGTGGTACACGCTTACCCTTGACAGAGCAATAGTTATGTGCCAGGGTAATTAAAGTTGACAACAGAGAGACAGACAAACAGACAGACCGTCAAAAACAATACACCTCCGTTTTTTTAATTTTCCAGGGGCAAAAACTGTAGCAAATCATGTGTTAACAAGAGGCCCACAACAAAATATTCGCTCATAATGAGTTACTTTGGACCTGCTATTCTTCACCACAATCCTCCTCTCTTGTAAATAGTAGACACCTATTTACTGGCTATGAGGACAATAGCAAGTTTATCGTCCCCCCAAGACAGCAACTATTTCCCGAGGCGCAACAGCAGAAATAATTGCTGTTGATTCATATTATTTATTGGGCTTACACTTTAACGAAACTTCATATTTGTAAAATTTGAAATTCTGGGATTTTTTTTTTGCTGATGGAAAAGCCCGAGAATAGTCATTGTTCTAAATACAGGGTTTTTTTTACATTATTACAACCAAAGCGACTTTTCTTGTGTAACGTCACAATCTGGTTAAAACCAGAAGAGTTTACAATAAATACAACGAATAAATCCACTATTTGTGTTAAAAAAAAATTCTGATGTGTATGGCTTTTACCTAACACATTTCTTGACAAAGATGATCCACATAAATATTTCACATGCGTTGGGTTTTACAAAAAATTTTGAGCAGGTTATATTCCTCAACTATTTTAGCTAAATTGAAAAATTTTCTTCTTTAGATCAGTATAATAATTATGTTTATGCTTTTGACATGTTAGTTTAACACACCCCTTCCAGTAAAGGTCATATATGTTTGATTTAGCATACCCAATAGGTCACACCCCATTGTTCCTTTACATATGTTTAAAAATATATACGCTTTATAAAACAATCAATAACTGTATCAGTACATCCATGCCTCGACAAATCAAAGAATTTTTCAAAATAAAACACTTGATCACGGTTATATTGCAAAACAAAAAATAACTTTTACAGAAAAACAGAAATGTTTAAATTTTCTTGTCAGTGCAAATGTCAGTGATTGCAATTAGTGCTTGTATACTCGAACACGGCTGGGATGTACGGAGATCGTTAAGAGCATGGTTTGACAAATCCTAGAAAGCAGTTCACAATGAGGGTTTTAATTTTAAATTTAAAAAAAAAAATCACTGTTATTGTGCATGCTATATATGAAATATAGTATTGTTTTCTGTGAAGTTATCTACGTAAGTGAATCAAATTAATTTATTTTAATAATAAATATACTTTTCTAATTACTATAATCTTTGAAAATTCTTGCAAAAAAAAAATAGCACAGAAGCAAGAAAAAGGGATATGGAGATACCGAACAGTATTCAATATCAAAGTCCATAAAACAATACAAAATAGGAGCTGAGCAAACACGGACCTCCGAACATCGATAGCAACATTGTTTAACTATATAAATTCAATTCCATTGGCTCTTACCTTTAAACTTACATATACATCTGTATGCATTTATTCTGCTTTAAAATACATACTTTTAGACTACCTTATATATTACTATACTTTTTACTTTATATACAGGAAATGCAATACACATCAAGAAGTTCTTATGATGATATTACAAATTTCTCCAAAACTGTGTTAACACCTGAGTGAAAAATAGTTCAACTTTCAGAGATATTTATAAATTAAAATAATAACTTAAAAATCTCTTTCAACACTTCTAGCCCACAGATACGTGACCAATGGTTGCTGTTACATCCACTTTCTTCTGGGATTTTAAGCATGGTAACCTTTGCAAATAAATGAACTCTTAGTTGTCATGCCTTTATATCATAATAAATTTCTAGCACATACCGTAAAAGTTAATGTTAAAGTAAAAGTGTGGAATTGTTGATTTTTTCCACAATGGATTAAATGTATCAGATCCATGTTAACGCCGCGTATTCAAAGATTGAGGGGCAAAATGAAAACCATCTTCTAAAATGAATTGTTTTGGCATGAAAAATGACAGCGGGTCATTATTTACGGGTCAATTTTCTACAATGCACACGAAAAATATGACCCCAAGGCCATGATTTCTAATAAAAAGGGGTCATTTTTCTACGGTTAATCAAATTTCTACCAAAGTACGGCAGTATTAATATTAGGGGGTCACTTTTCGTCGTTACACCGGCGAATTGTTTGATGATTATTTCACCATGGGCAGATAGCACAAAAATATCCCATTGTTGCGGACTGTTTAGAAAAAACAGAAGGTTAATTCGTCATATTTTAGATAGAAAAAAATTCACAGAGGTATAATAATACCTATTGTGGCCCCACTCTACACCCGGGCGGACGGACGAGGAAAAACTGGTGATCAAAAATGCTCCCTTGAATGCGTCAGAAATTTCTTCTGAGTTCTTGGATTTACTTTATTAAAAAAAAACTAGTATAGCAAACTATAATTATATCAAAAACAATGAACTATTATGATCAAGAAGTGATTTTTTTAATGATTATGAAGCTATCCTTCTTCATTATAGAATATTTAAATCTTAGGTTCGACCTCCATTGTATTTTGGCGATTAAACGGAGGAGTATTTTACGTCATCAGATCTGAAATACGGCTAGGCGTGTTAAACTGAGATGTGATGCAATCTGAACGCGCAAATGTGACTCTCTTCTCACATTTAGGCTGTCAAAGAGGGAATTCAAAGCATGCGCAACAAACGGGCAATACTAGTAGTCAGTATATCCTTCAACCAGGACACTAATGAGTAAAGTGTAATTACTTTGTAAAGATTCCATATACGCAATTGTTTTTATAATACCAACTATTACAATTTTAAATGCGTATTAGGGAACTATAGGGGTACACCTGGGGCTAAGATTTCATTTGGTAGAGGTTGCTATGCTCTACATAAACATGGCAGCTTGATTTTTATCAAAATTGGTAATTATTGGTTTAGTAGTTTATGAGAAGAAGCTGAATTTTTATGCCCCCAGATCAAAAGATCCCCGGGTATATTGTTTTTGTCCTGTCTGTCTGTTTGTTTCTCTGTCTGTTGTGAACTTTGACCTAGTCCATAACTTTTGAGTGGGTGGGGCTATAGCTTTCATATTTCACAGATGTATTACTTGTGTCAAGATTGTGCCATGGGTACCACCAAATTTGACCTTTTGACCTTGGAGTTTGACCTACTTACTTTAACCTTGACCATAACTTTTGAAAAGTTAGAGCTAGGGCTTTCATCCTTTTCATGTGCATTCGTTGTGATAAGACCTTTCAGTATATATATTTTTGATCTTGACTTACAAGAGCTTGACCAACTTTTCAAAAACTTGAACCTTGGTCATAACTTTTGAGTGGTTAGAAATAGGGCTTTCATATTTCACAGGTGTATTTCTTGTCACAAGAACTTCCATTGGGTACCAATACTTTTGACCTTTGGAGTTTGACATGCATTTGAGAGAATTCAACCCTTGCTATAAGCTGCCATACAGAGGCATCAGTGTTTCACAAATGCATCTTGTTTGAAATGTTATCTATGGGTGAACATTTCTGTTACCTTATTCAAAGGTGAAATATGAAAGTCCTGGCTAGCACAATGGCCATGGATGATGCTTTTGTGGACAAACTTTCAGACAGACCAAAAACTTCCTGAATCTCTGCTTACAAGGGCATTAGCACAAGTGAAAACAACGAGTGATTAACATTTAATCAATCAAGCATATCATTTACCAATAAACTTCAGTATAAACTAAATATTGCACTTACAAGAGTAAATGTACATGCACAAGTTTACATAATAAAATGTAAAATGCTTATTATATTAACTTTAGCATGATTAAATCAAGGCTTTATTAACTTTAAAAAACTAGAACTGTTCATGAAACAGACTTAAGGGGTAACTAAAGAAAGAGTATATACTTTAAAATAACTTAAAATAGAACATTTCTGAGGCCTTCAAAATTTGACTTTTTTGAATCCTCTGACCTTAACCTTGTGTTTTTAAAAACCTTGTTTGGGGTCATGATTTATTCTATTAGCTTAATCACCCCTCAAACATTTTTGATCTTATGTTACTCCATTGAATAATCATGACATTTGCACTTCAAATCCTGAGACCTTTTGATCTTATGACCATAAAACTGGGTTCCTGGCCATGAACTTTTGACCTCAAAATTAATAGATGTAACCTTTGATCAAATACAAACTCTGTGCCCAGTTCAACACAATAATATTAAAATACCAGGTGCATGTGTCAAATGGCATGTTCTATTTTTACAAAGTCTGGAAAAACATCATAACTTCAAACATATCCAGAAAAAAAATTATGTCCACTCACAGACAGAATCACCCCCCCCTCTCTTTCAAACTCCATTCATAAAGGGAATGAAATTCTTTCTGACAGAGTTTCAAGGGTTTTACCCAAGCTAAGGCAACAAACTCAAAAGTCAACTATGAAATATTTTATAACATTACTCTGTAAGGAGATTATCAGTACATGTATATCCCAATATCTAGAGCTGATTTGTGAGGTAACATGACTGCACAGTTACGTGTATTCACAAAGGTAGCATTTCACAGATGACTAAGCAAGTTTAACATTTAAAATATTTTCAGAAAGAAATTCAACACTTTTACATTTTAAAAAACTTCAAACATGAATACAGTCAAGGAAATTATTTTTAGAACATCTTGAATTTTGGAGAATAAAAATTGCACAATTAAATTTTAATAAGCATTTCTTACTCATAAAACACATACAAACAGAGCACTTTTTATAATGACTATGCGGTCACATTTGTTGATCATGCTTGAGAATCCACTACTAACCAATCAACGACTCTGGGCAATCTCTGAGAAGAAAGACAGCACGTCATCCACCTTGAATTCCAGAGTGATTCCAGAGTCTGGGTAACACTGATTAATCAGATCTTCATAATGTTTGATTTGTTTGATGAATTCATCTTGCATGGAGAACCACACCACCTGTAGCAAGTTTTCTTCTTCACACAGGTCCTTGTGCGTTTTCTTATAGATTCCATCCAAACCTTTCTTCACCTGAAGAAAAATTTCAACAGTAAGGTTTCCATATATTTCAGCCATCAAACTGTTGTTCTCTTTAGTAAAAGGTGTTTAACATTCATTATCCCCCTGCTCACAAATATGAAATTTTGCCTTGGTGATAATATTTTTAATAGGAATAGATATGAATCCAAATCAGAGTTATCTCTCTTATCACAATGTTTGCTCAAGGAGCTATGACGAGTCAAATGAGAAACTTGCATTAATTTTTGTCACATAAGTTAGCCCCTATATTGTCAATACAGGGCGTTCACTGACCTCTTTGACTGGGTACTCCTTGATCACCTTTCTGAGTTCCTGTTTACTGAAGGCCAACTGAAATCCCACCTCCTCAGGCTTTACACCTGTAGCCACTCGGTTCTGTACGCCCTCAAAAAACACCTGTAAACAGGTACACGCAGGTATTTCTCAATTTAATCACAGACCAAACAAATACCGTTACATGTACATGCCATAAATAAAACATGCTGCATGATGCATGATTAAGAAATCATCATGTGTTTGAAAGAAGAATTCTGTTTGTGGATTATAGCTTACATGTAGTTTTTCTAGAGGTCTACCCAGCAGATTTAAGGTGTAACTGTTTAGGTTGTCTTGATAGATCTGTTTAGCTTCTTTTCTATCCGACTCCAGGCAAGGGATTTTAAGACTGGACAGAGTAGCTACAAATAAGTAAGGAAGTAAATGACTACATGTACCATAGTCTATATATTTATTAACTGAGTTTGAGGATATAACCAGAAGTCTCTGTTGAGACTGAAGCTCTACTGGTTTGAACTTATAGCAAAGGAAAAGAAAAGTACTTAAGCAACTGGGATTTGAAATTTTACAACAGCAATAAATAGAATAATGATCGTTGATATAGTCTCTTTATGTATTTAAAAATAATTCTTCTTGTGTGCCAAGTTATATTGAAATCAGACCAAAACTGTAGGAGGAGTAGCATTTTGAAACAATTTTACAGTCATTTCTATTTTTAGTAACCATAGCAACACCGTTCATCAAAATTAAAATTAAAATTCGATACATAGAATTATGTATCTTAGTGTATTCTACTTGTGTGCCAAGTTATACTGAAATCAGACCAAAACTGTAGGAGGAGTAGCATTTTGAAACAATTTTACAGACACAATATTTCTATTTTTAGTAACCACGGCAACACCTTTCATCGAAATCAAAAACCAATACACAGAATTATGTATCTTATATATAAGCGTATTTTACTTGTGTGCCAAGTTATACTGAAATCAGACCAAAACTGTAGGAGGAGTAGCATTTTGAAAGAATTTCACAGAAATTTCTATTTTTAGTAACCATGGCAACACCGTTCATCGAAATCAAAAACCGATACACAGATTTATGTATCTTAGTGTTTTCTACTTGTGTGCCAAGTTATACTGAAATCAGACCAAAACTGTAGGAGAAGTAGCATTTTGAAAGAATTTCACAGAAATTTCTATTTTTAGTAACCACGGCAACAACGTTCATCAAAATCAAAAACCAATACACAGAATTATGTATCTTAGTGTAGTCTACTTGTGTGCCAAGTTATACTGAAATTAGACCAAAACTGTAGGAGGAGTAGCATTTTGAAAAATTGTTTACAGATCATCCATGTAAGTTTGGTTAACATAGGGCTTATAGTTCCTTGGAAATGACAGCAACACCAAAAACTGCACCAAAAATGTTAACCTGCTCGCATAAGCTCCTTTGCTGGTCTCTGACCAATGAAACACACTAGAAGCATATTCCATGCATGTCTAATCAATTGGACACAGAGACTTTACATTATTTAACTGGAGCCATTACAATGAAGGCAACACATTAAGTTGAGGTGAGTTCACATTAGAAATGCTTATTTTCTTTGTTTATTTATTGAATATATTTTGGATAAGTATTATAGGTGACCAGCCCAAAGTACAGTCATATTTTACAACATTAAATTTACAACAATTTGCTACAATTTTAATTGTTTATATTAATCACATACATTTAAAAATAATTCTTCTCTGAATTTAACTGTTTAAAATAATTATCATTGAACAAAAAGAAATAAATATTGTTACCTTTTTGCACAATACATATGATGGCAAATTCTTCTTATATCAAAACTTAAAGAGAAAATGAACAAAAAGAAGTAAAAGTTTACACTATGTTACAATAATATTTCAACATATATTTTCACAAAAAATGGTGTAAATTTTGCTTCAAATATATCATGATTTTTTGGCAAAATTTTATAAGAAAAACTTCCTTCCTAAAAATATAAATGACCATATTAAACTTCCAATATTATTACGGAGTTTTCTGGCTCTCATTGGCCACTCTGGCTATTTGTTCATAGATGACAGCTAATTCTAATGTTTTATAAGACTTAAATATTGCTTCTAGATTTTGGGTATTTCTGAATGTTAAAACATTTACATTTTTGAAATATTTTATTAAAATTGATTTTAAAATTTTTGTCAACAGAAAAAAAATTATAGCAGACATAACTTAAGTGAAATGAATTTTTGACACAATTTTTTTCCTTATCATTACTTTTCATTTTAATATGCCCTCTGCCATTCAAAAGAAGCAAAACAACATAAGAATTTAATTTCTAAAGCACTGACTCTACCTCAAAGTTATGGACAAATGCAATAATTCCACACCGGCTCTTTTTGGAAACTTTAAAGTCTTGGATAGTCTTTATCTGGTTTGACTGAAATTACAATTTAACTGCATTAATTCTCAACAACACCCCATCACCATCATCGTCTCAAGCCACGGTCCGGAGTCCGCATATATAGCTCTCTCCTACCCGTGGCTGCTTGATCACAAAAAGTGTCGTAATCTTGAATATTTACGCCTCTCTATTGTGACGTCACATTCAGTCAGTGGCAAGTTTTGTTTCCATCGCAATCGAAATCAACAACTGACGTCAACAGTATACAAGAAATATTTCCTATACTGCGATTGCATATTGAAAGGTCGCGATAAAGTTCATCATCCGACTATGCTTTACTCGCATTGGTCAATATTTTAAAAGCTACGAAGAATTCTCTTCTCGTTCAACCACGGCCAGATGGGAGAGGAGCGTACATTTTGGCCATGGTTTGCAACGATGCATCACCATAGAAATTTTTTTTTTAAAAATGTGCATTTGAAAGTTCGTTCACTTATCATTATAAAGTTTTTAACTCATTATCTAGGTTATCTAAATTTAATTCACTGGTTCTCAGGCCAATTTTTATTTTTCATTTTATTGGCAATAAAGTAGATGAGGGAGGTATTTTTTTTAATTTTAAATTCCGAATTTTCTTTAACATAAAGATAATTTTTTTAATCACCGATATACTTTCCATTTCTGGTCAAAATTTCTGCTTTATCCATTGCTTAACAGCGTGTAAACATCGTAGGTAATGTCCTCGAATGTATTTTCAAACGAAGTAGCCAAAATCTCTGAATACTAAACTACGAAACAAATGAGGTCGAAATTTTTTTTCCCAGATTGGTCTCCGCAATACCACTTTTTATCAAAAATTAAAATAAAGTTTTTAACTCATTATCTAGGTATATTTTATTTATTGGGTACTTACAATGAACTTGTCAAAGTTCCTTTTGATCTTGACAAGGCAGCTGGCGTACATTACACTGAGGAAGGAGCCAGCATCCTGGGCATTATTGACGTGTTGACTCATCCTCACCAACATATACATAGAGTTACTGGATTTAGAAATAAAATAAGTGACTTTACAGTACTGTAATACATGCAATTATTGCTGTGTTTTGAGGTCAATACAATTAGCCATCTAATACAAATTCACCGAGCCCGGAGGGCGAGGTAATATTTACTTCGAAGATGGCTAAATCATTGTATTGACCGAAAAAACAGCAATAATTGTTTTACTCCAAATACAATTAAGAGAGAAGCAGAATTAAAATGTTTATAAATCTACAGGTCGTATTTAATTAAAAAAAATTATCAATTTTTATCAAAAAAATTATGTCAGTCTTTTTTCTATAGATTTTTAAAGGAAGGAGCATCATCATGACTGCCATAAAGTAAAAATTGTTGTTCAGTGAAAGTAGGAGTGTCCCTGTATCCCCTCTTACCACCCTCCTCCGAAAATATACCGGTATATTCGCTTATGTTTTCATCAAATGAAAAAAAAAAATTATACTTGTTTAAATGGCTTTCCAAATCAATTTTTATCAATTTGGAATATCTCGATCTATTTTTAGATCAACGTAAAGGAAATAAATCCTTGTATTGCCTGGAACGTCACGTGCAGGTCAATACAACGTAGTATTTTTCTAACATAGTTGTGCCAATCAGAGAGATGGAAATTATTCAATATATAATACATGTATATACATCCCTTAAAAAATGTGATAATATTTAAGGGGCCTGGTTAACATTGTGACAAAATGTCATATATTGTGGCTTTAAATGCATTGAAGTAATCAGGCACATGCTCACATTGCACATCATATTATATGTGAAAATATTCACATTTAGCATTTTCTCCCCAAAAATATTATAGATTTTCTGTACTTACAACCCATCCAATCTATCAGCATAAGATACAAATGCTTCTAGCTCTGACTCCAGATTTGGAAACAATTCTCCCATCATCCTCCTGACTTCCTCATTCATGTGTCTCCTGTCAATCAGGTACATATTACAAACAATTAGTTCCATAAGTATTATTTATATACATACGCCATCTAGAATTCTGATTTTACACACTTAAATATATTTGCATTTTTAAGGTTTTTATGCTTAAAACTAATTTTAATCACAAAGAAAGCAAATAATTAATTGTGTTGTCTTAGTGCAATCGGCTTTCATGCAATGTTCACAAACAATATCACATGCTATTACATTTGTATTTTTTTCTGTACGGTAGTAATACATGTATTTGAATGACCCAAATGCATTTGTTTCTGCATTCATTTCTTGTTTTAATACCAATAATCTATTAATGATTTATTGTTGACAATCACTCCATTCAAGGTCATATCCAATAAGGAATTGTTTCTGTATTTTCCTACATTATTTTTTTACTGTGTAATTCAATAAAACTGATTTGTTGTACTATAAACAATTGTTAATGTATTATCTTACAATTACAAGTAGTGTAATTTTTTAGATAAAGAAGAATTTTTCATACTTATGTGCAAAATTCTACCTGATTCTGAAAGTTAGACAGTATGATCATGGTAATTTCAAACAGAATGAACATTTAACTATATAAAAAAATCTTTGTTTTTAGGTGTGGGGAAAATTCATGGCAGGTTTATAGATTTTATTAAGTGTAAAATCTTTGGTGTACAACATGCAATCCTGTTTGTTTTGTACCTAGCTAGCACTACTTTTGCCTGATTTAGGGTTGGGGGGATATTTTGGATGCCCGAGAGTGACTTAACTGTGGGAAAGTGGAGGGGGAGGATTGTGGATCTATAAATAGAAATGTGTCCATATATATCTTTAAAAAGAGAGTGTGAACAATGATGCCTTCATATGGCAGATTCTGACCAGGGTGAAAGATTTTAAAAAGTAGTTCAAACTATAAGATTAAGTTCAAAAGGTCAAAGGAATCTAAAGAACAATCTTGTTATATAGAATAAACTACTGAAATATGAGAGTTCTAGCATCAACTGTTTAAAAATGATGGCCAAGATAATTTTTTTTCCAAAGAAAGTCAATGGTCTTATTACAAGGAATACAGATGTGAAATGTGAGTATTAATTTAGAAATTATAGTCAAAGGTCAATGTAGTTTTTTAAAATGATGTTAAACTCAAAGGGTTAATGTCATAATGTCAATAAGAAAAGGTTTAGTCTCAAAAAATACACTTGTTAAAAAGTAGTTTAACAAGAATCATTTAGAATTTATGGCCGAGATAAAGTTTTGGTCATTTTTTTTAAGAATGTAAAAGTTTAAGGTCATCAAGGTCATGAGGTATATATATTGACAATCAAAGACAGGTCTTGCCACAAGAAAAACACTTTTAAAAAGAAAGCCAATGTTTTCTTATTTTCAGCTATTCCAATGTTACATGTATGGGCAAGATTAAAGTTGGTTTAAGTTTTTTTCTTAGTTTTTCCCTATCATCTTAATAAAGAGGTAAATTTTAAAAATAGTTAGTTGCATGAGCAGTAACAAGAGCAAAATATTTAGTCTATAACATCAGAGTTAATGAAACTTGCCATATCTCCATACTTAACAATTACACTCTACCTCTTACAAGACAAAAGAGGTGCAACTTGGCAACAAAAAAAGCTACATGTACCAGTACTAAAATATTATACAAAATTAAGAACAGATTATCTACCACTGAGCATTCATATAACATGAAAATAACCAAAATCATATTTATATATGTACATGTTCATGAAAGTCATACTTTTATAAAGTTTTGCAATCAGATTGTACTTGGCATAAATCTTAAACTTATTATAAACAGAACTTCAAACCCTGTCAGTTCCTCAGACTAGGATATAAAAACATAACAAGTCTGCATCCAATCAACAACAGTTACCGTAAATCTCCATGGCAACAACATATATATGTAGATATGATCACATGACCTTGTCTCAACATTGATTCACTCTAATGTATTTGATCTTTCAACCTGATGAATGCTTTTCTTTCCAGCTTTATAAGTATTCTTTAACTACAAGTTGTTGAGACAAATCTTTTCTGCAAATCCAAGTCCATTGCAACATCAAAAAATCAAATATCATTAACATCAAATAACTCAATATAAGGCAAGGCAAAAATAAATACATGTGTGGCATGTGGTGGGTATCAAGCATAAAGGCAGGCAGGGTAGGGGGGACTGACCCCACTTACAGCTTGGATTTGGTGCGGCGCCTCTGTATCTTAAGGCCACCACCTAAATTTTCCTCATAGAACTCCCTAAAATAGTCATGTGCTGTAGAAACTTGTCAGAAACAGAATGCTGTTTAATGTTATCAACCTTATATCAGTATATAATTGATATACGGTACACATAGTAACACACAGTAACTCTGTTTTAATAGCATGGAGTAGAAATTACTTTGTGAAATAGATAAAAAATTCAATATTATTATATAATTTTTTGTTTCCTTGCTTTGGTTGGTTACTTTATGATTAACTTACTCCACTGGTGCTGCTGCGGGCTGAATGGGTTTCCAAATATCCTCTGATTCTTCTTCCTGAAAAAAAAGAACAAAGTTTTATTTCTTTTACAATGACTAATTTAATTACATTGATTTAAAATAACCCAATAATTTATTTTATTATAATTGTAGACTTCATTGATTCGATTTACATTTTCTTTATAACAAGAAATCTAAAAAATAGTAACCCACTACAGCATCATGCCACTGAATTTAGAATGAGAGACAAATTAAACATGTTCAGCCTCTGAAGGGACAACAAATCTTTTTTTAAAAATCATTAGATATCCTTGATACTAATTCTAAAGAGATTAATAAGCTCTCACAAGTGTTTAAATTTGGCAGTCATAAATTTTATTTATGTACATTTGTTAAATCATGCTTAACAAGGTTTTCATTTTTAAATACCTGTTTGGGTTCTTTGACGGTAGGTGTGTCCCCGGCAAGATGGAAGAATCTGACACAAAAATCCTGCTCAGACAGACAAACTGGCTCCAGTTCACTGAGAATTTTATCAATGACCTAGACAATTAAACATTTAGAATACATATAATTATTTGTGAGGACAAGTAAAAAAAAAGATAATTGATCAAGTAAATAAAGTGCACAAAAAACAGCATTTCATGAAGGAGCTTATTAATATAATGCCTTTACCTGGTCAAATAGATGTCTCATTGCTAAGTCGTGACTAGACCCATGGAATGAAGTATTGTCTGAGTTGAGACTTTGTACTGAACCAGACATTTTCCGGTTAAGACTGGAGGAGGAACCAGAGAGAGCTCTAGCTTGGCTGGTCAGACCAACACCTGCAAAAATTATTTATGTAGACACTACATGTATTTTACACTCAACTGCTTTTTTCACAGGTTTATATCTTTAAGAGGCAGTCCGCCGAAAAACCAGGCAGGATTGTATTAATAGGCGGCACATCGAATGTGACGAATATTTGATATTTTATTGAAAACAATATCAATGTAGTCCAAATGGAATAATGTAATCGAAGATTTGTTTGAAAATTGCTTATTTAGTAAAATATCCGTTTGTTTCGTGTTCTTGAATTCCCCTATATAAACCACTGAATTTAGGTCAGAAACAAAGAACTGTAATTTCCAATACAATTTTAAAAGGACTATAATTCATGCTGAACTAAATCTAGAAATATTTCGTCTTTCAGTTTCAAAAATAAAATCGGTGGGCAAAACACTTTTGATAGTAGTTTTCTGGCAAAATATATAGACGTTTTAATGAAATTTTGCGATGTAAGAGTTTTCTCCCGTGGCATCGGTAAATCTGCTAAACACCTTACTATCGGAATCCTAGTGAAATATTTAGAATATATACACACAAAAAAAATTATTAAACCAAAAATTACTACTTTATTTTCAAAATAGAATTCATTTTCACCTCCAAACATAATATTTAGATTAAAATTGGCAGTATTATTCAGGTTGAAACCACGTTTCCATTTATGTATCAGTGACGTCATATACCTGACTAATATTTCGTCACAATTAAATAGTTACAAGTTTTCCACAGAAGTTTGTAAATTCTTTGCATAAAAGCGCAAAGAAAAAGATTAAAATAAATAATTTCTCTTTTTCTGTTCAATTACTCTTCAGAGTGCATTATCCTAAATGTCTGCCTAAATGTTAAATAATCATATATTTTTATATAAAATGTATTTTATTCACGGGCGGCGTCTCAGCTAGAAGTCCGTTTTGATACATGTAAGTAATTTTATTCATGTCCGAGAACTAATTTTTTAACTGATTTACTAGGTCATGCGTAAAAATAATTAATTGTTTGTATTGAACATTTAATTCTTATAAACTTGGGATGTGAAGAGATTTTATTTTCTTCTGATTATCAAGGAAAGATGAAATTCAACGGAGTTGAGATGTTTATTTCATGATATTTGTAAAAAAAAAAAAAAATAAAAAAAAAAAATTCGAATTGAACTGCGACATTAAAAACGACCTTGATCATATTTATCTATGCAGTCAAACCAAAATAAACGATCCGCGGAACAAATAAAGATATTTAAAATAACATTTAAAAATATTTATTGAGGAAAATTACTGTTGAACTCCCAAGTTCAATTTGGCACTAAAACGGAAGACTTCGTTGGGGTATTTTTTGTTTTGAATTGTTGTTGTTTTTTTTTTTTTATTAAATTTGGTGATTGAAACAATCACATACTCACATTCAATAAGGAGTTAAAATAAGTGACCATGTTGGCCAATTCTTAAATGTTTCCACATTAATGAAACCATTTAAAAAAAGGAAAAAGATGCCGCCTTGCCCCCCCCCCCCCCCCCCCCCCGGCTTTTTGCCTTGCGATTTATGGGCTCTTAAATAATGTTACTATATGAAACAACTTATTTTCTTATTTATATAAAATTAAATTTTATAGAAGATGAAAATATAGGGAAAAAGGCTTTTATAAATGACAGGTTTAAAAAACATGGATAAAGTCGAGACTGTGCACATAAAAATATTTTCTGCATTTAGGTACGTGCAAGAATAATTTCGCCACTGATAGAATTTAACTCTTTAATAAAAAAAAACTACTTGGAAATAAGATATTTAATAAAGATAAGCTGTATGCTCTCAGTTGTTGTATAATGCATGTACAAATACTTGTTTTTTTTAATACCAAGTATCAAGAAATCAAACAGATGTTATACATGATTGTAATCGTCATGTACGTAAAAGACATTATTATTTTAAATACATTGTATATACATTTGAATCTATGGATAAAATAATTTTAAAACAGTTGACTGACTGAACAGAAATAAAAGACAAGCATATTTTTCGGATAAATTAAATGATGAACCAAATTTAGGAATATTTCTAGTTTTACGGTAAAAACCGATCCCGATTGAAATAAAACCGATCCCGATTGAAAATAATGCAGAATGTGTAAAGTTATAAAACTAAAGACAACTGCCCACCTATAAAACATGTAAAAAAAATAAATCAAGTAATTTTTTAACTATATTACAACAAAAGAGCCAAATTTAACATTACAATTATAGAATTTCCTTCTTTATATAATTCCGGTCGGGATCGGTTTCATTGGGAAAAATTGTAAAACATAGGTAAATTTGACTCCTTTTATTTCTCTCAATATACCAGTGCCCACTGATTTTATTGAGTGACTCAAAAGTTTGTACTTTGTATTCATAATAACATGAGAAAAAAAATCTGTCATCGTAATGTATTGGGTTTTATAACGTAATGAAAATTGGATAAAGAATTCAAAAAGTTACTTGGTAAACTCAATTTTGGACCACATAATTTTTTCTAAAGAAATATAGATTGGAGTCTTATTCATTTATAAAATTAAAGATAAGAGTCTATGGTATAAATGATATTGATAGACACATCCAGGTTTTGCGTATCTGGTACATATAAAACAAAATAAAAAAGTAGTAATTTTTTTTACTCCCCTGTTGACCTTTTTGCACTTAAAATTGAGCACTTACCAAAAATAGGACTAGTGGAGCACTAAAAATTTTTTTGCTGTTGTCATGTGTAAACACTTGCTTTAATAAGTCTACATGCAAAAAATAATAAAAATCCATGACATGCGATGTGCCACCCATTGCCTGATTTTCAGTGGACTGCCTCTTAAGTTTTTGTAGGGATCACTGTATTAATATGAACAAACTTATTCTATTATAAATTTAAACTTAGTTAACTCTTTACCAAATCAAATATCAGCAGATTATGTATTTGATAAGATAGGAAAAACATGAACTTATGTTTATCTAATATTAAATGTGTTGATCGAGTCAGTCAGTTGTATTATACCTAATCTGTTTTTATCTGGTTTGCTTCCTAATTTCTGCTTGGCCATTTCCAGAAAGTCTTGAATCTCTTTATTATACAGCTTACTTAGACTCTGAGTGTAAACCTGTCATAACATTTAAACACAGAATTTTAATGGACAAGTTCATTAATGATATGTGCTGAAAAGATTCAAAGTTCAGAGTACATTAGTATCATCTGTACGTTAAATAGTATTAGAAACTGATGCTGTTTCTTAGAGCAAGGTACTGTTAAGATATAATATAATGAACACACAGCTTTTGAATCTACCATAGACAGTATGTATACCTTGGAGAGCTGGGTAAAGCTGTCAAAATCGGAGTTTTTTAGCCACATCATGAGGTCAGCGTAGGGCGTGAGGTCCCGGTGGGCCGAGTTATGCTGAGGAAGCTTAAAGTCCGGGGCCTGGCGACTCAGAGTCTCTCCGTGTTCATTCCCCTAGGAAATTTTTTTTTTTTTTGGTAATGTAAAATTGTATGATCTGTAGCGTATAGAACAACAGTATCTCATTTCCTTGCAATTAATTTTTTTTAATCATGTTATGAATTGAATTATCTCATGCATTATCTTTACAAATATTTTACCTCCATGATAAAAATATTTTACATTCAATATCAACTAATAAATTCTCCTATTTGGTTTTTAAATTGATTGTTGGACAAAAATACCTGATGAATGAACAAATTGTTGAGATGATGAGCTAATCTCTTGCCAAATTTATCAGAAAATCTTGAAAATTTTCTTTGCTGTTCTTCAAGTGCAGACATTTGATTCAATGCTAAAAAAAACAACAATATAAATAAATCTGTAAGTAAATAAACAAAGTTGATTTACACTAAAATTTCAGTCAACTAGAAATAGACAGAAGGTAGAGACCTGGATGGATGTCGACATTGAGACATTTCTGTAAGGCGTGAGCGGCCGTCGTACACTCGTAAATACCGCCAGGTGTATTCAGGTCCCCATCCTGAAGAGCTTTTAAGTACTTTGTGTCTAAATCCAGCTGTTTCTGTCAACAAAGATATAAATTTATATAATTTTAGTTAAAACAACTTCTGATGGGTCTTAACTCTTGTATTATGCTTTGAACTTTTGTTTTACCCACTACCACACTGACGATATACAATTCTTGCACTATTTCTATCATTAATTCAACTGTTCAGATCTTGCTTTACCCAAAGCTAACTGTCAAATTCTTACCTTATCTCTGACAAGTGTCTAATTCAAGCTTTATTAACTGCCTAATTAAACTAAACTGTCTAATTCTTCATTTACTCACCACTAAGCTGTCTAATTCTTCATTTATTCACCACTAAACTGTCTAATTCTTCATTTATTCACCACTATACTGTCTAATTCTTCATTTACTCACCACTAAACTGTCTAATTCTTCATTTACTCACCACTAAACTGTCTAATTCTTCATTTACTCACCACTAAACTGTCTAATTCTTCATTTACTCACCACTAAACTGTCTAATTCTTAATTAACTCACCACTAAACTGTCTAATTCCTCCACCACTAAACTGTCTAATTCCTCCAGCTGCTGGTGGTTTTTGTTTCTGGTTCTAATCAGAGCATCCTTCTCTTTCATCACTTCCATCTGATCTTTCACATTCTATAAATAGTAATGGTTTACTAATAAAAATTTCATGGAAATCATGTGAAAAAAGTGGTTGTTTTATAGATTCTTGTATACTTTTTTCATGGTGAATACAAGATATAATAATTTTCCATAATATTTTACCTTTTTAAAAGTAATAAAATACAATATTTAAAACCATACCAGTATATCATGTCTTATGAATTCTTCCTCATTTCTATAAGCATGAAACATGTAACTGGGAACAGTAACTACTTCTTACGTATCTACTTAAAAATACCTATATAGAGAACTTCACTTTTATACAGAAAATAATATAATCTAGGGATATTTGTTCCACCTACCTGTAAAATACTGTCATAGAATTCCAGTTTGTCTTCAATCTTTTCTGCAGAAGTGATGCCATCATCTAAAAGTCTCATTAGGTTTAGTACTTGGTCTTCAGATCCCATTATAGAGTGAATGTTGGCCTAAAATGTATAAAATACACTGTTTGTACACTATACTCCATATTCCTTTTTAAAATATCATATTAAATGTATAACCTGCATGCAAAGAAAAATGACAATTTGGTTTGGTGCAAATTCCATTGAGGGGAAGATCATATTGATGTCTGATAGTTAAGTAGAGCCTTGAATATATCCTGCTCAAACTAATGGAGCACGCCAGTTTCATATCAAGCAATCATCAAGTTAAAAACTTGAGATAAAGTTTTTTGGAATCATATTCCATAGATGTAGATAGATTTATTAACTATGATTTGATTACTGTGATTACAAAAATGATCCCCAATGTAACAACAGATCTTACTAATTTGTTATTCAATTTACATCTCCAAATTTTGTACACTGCATGTACTGGCAAAGTATTATGTTGTGATGATAGGGTTGAGTATATATAAATTTTGTGGACGGGGTTATTTCATGTGCAAGTAATTAGGAAATTAACAAACACAAACACACCCCATCCAGAACTGATAGCTGCTTGGAGAGCTGTTCTGCGAAGAGTTCGGCATTGCTGATGGCGATCTTACACTCTGACATCAGCTGATCAAGGTCAGACTCCTCTTTAGGGGTCAAGGCCTGGTAATCGTCCTCCATGGTAACAATGTCATCTTCCTGTTGTGTGGTCTGTACAGACCCTGTGGGCCTGCTCACCTCTACAGAGTGGGAGGGGAGTTTAGAATACAAACACATGACTGTTTAACAAGGATTTGATGAGGAAACATTTTCAGTTCTTGTCAAAAAAACAGCAGTTTTGAGATTTGTAATTAAAAATACTTTTTCACAAGTCCTGAAATTGCTGGGGTTTTTTCGTGAATTGTGAATACATGTATAACTTATCATAATAACTCACCTTCCAGTAAATGTCGCGGTACATTTAGGAAATCAGGCTTCTGAATCAGGTACCTCTGACTTAGCTGAAAAAAATTCATGAAAAGCTTCGTGACATTTCATGTGAATGTATTTTAGCAAATAATAGATAATACAGATAATCTTCTATTTCTATTTTTCAACTTTATACCCTGCTTTTTCACAAGTAAGTGTGATGCTTCTTATATAATATAAAGGTAAATACCTTCCAGAGACAAGCTATAAACGTCTCTTTATCATTGACACTGCTTGCAACCCACTTGTATACTTTCTCAAAATGAAGGTCAAATTCTGCTGTTTCCTGAAATCAGAAAAAAAATAAATAAAAACATTTTTAAAACTTTTTTCAGGAAGTTTAAATACCAAGTTTAAGAGAAAACTGACACAGCACAAAATATTTCTTTTAATTTCTGTTTTAAAGTATGTACATTCTGAGATACTTTTGCAGAGTGAAATTTCCGATATCTTAATCCCATATTAATTAAGATAGTATGTTTATGTTAATTTAGTTGCCATTTAACATTAAAAATCTTGATAACAGTTAATTCTTTATTTTAACTGATAAAAACATCAATTCTTTTACACTTGAGAAATACAAAAGTTTGCAAAAACCATCATAATCATCATCAACATTTATATCTACTTAAGACTTATATGCACTGACAGTGTGCTTTAATTAGGACAGTAGGAGGAAAATTTTTAAGAGTACATGAATGTACATTACATTCTATCAAAAAAAAACAATTGGCCATAAGCATAACATATATTTACTTTGCTGGAGCTCTTCCCATCTACCACCTTCAGTTCTCGGAGCAGCCATGTGACTTTCTTTTTGTAAGCCTCGGTTTTGTCAGCCTTTTTCACCTGGTATACTCGGGCCTGCACTGGAGTCTCTGTGCTCACTAAAATCGGAATTTTATTAACTTTTATCATCTTAAGGGTACTTTAAAACCAATGTTTAGTTTAATGCATATTCTAGCATTAACATCATGTAAACAAAGATGTTTTAAAAATTATTCAAGTGAATACTTTTAAATACAACATAATTGCAAATCTGTGTCATTCTAAACTTACATGCAGCACATAGAAAACTTGTTTTCTTCTTCCGTCCAACTTTAGTAACATGCACAAACCCAATGAGGCGCTCATCATTTGGCAGAAATACATCCCTGTTTAGAGTGTGTTTAATGGCAGTCATTATGCAAACATACCACCATGTTACCTGGGATAAGATTTAGTAGTTTCTCATGACTTAGCTGGTGCCTTTTTCATGATGAATCTACAAATGTACAAAATACAGAGGTAAGTGGTTTATCATCAAAAACGCTGATTTTCTTAATTAGGTATATTTTTATAAAGGATTTTTTAATGTATAACATTACATGGTGGTTAGAAATAAAATAGTAGATTGTTTCATTGAATTAATATGATTTGTAAAACATTTTGGTTTCAATTGTTCAGTAATGGGAACAGAAGGCTATCAACAGGTCCAGTCCAAAGACTATTTCTACCTACGTAGCTATTAATGGCTACCTAGGTATTTAAAGCTACCCAAAGTAGCTATTTTTACCTACTTTGTATAATTTCTGCATTTTGCGACCAAAAGACCAAACGGTGCAACATGGTGAATACCATATTTTTTTGATACGGTCACACTAATGATAAATACGACAAAATTTTGGCCAAAAAATGATTACTTCCTGAATCGGCAATTTTACATTAGTTTCTATGCAAAATTGATAATATACGAAGTTTTCATGTTTTGGCCTAATTTTTGTCATATTCATCATCAGTGTGACCATGGTGACTGTATCAAGAAATCTTGTGCTCACCTTGTTGCGCCGTTCCTGCATTTGGCCACAAAATGCAAGTAAAGCAGAAAGTAGGTAAAAATAGCTACTTTGGGTAGCTTTAAATACCTAGGTAGCTATTAATACCTACGTAGGTAGAAATAGTCTTTGGACTGGACCTGATCAAGATACAAAGATTGAGACAGGAAATGAGTCTCAAAAAGTACAGGATTTTAAAAATTAACATTTTCTAGCTACTCAAAATGTTTTACGAAATGGAAATGCAGAGAGTGATATGATTCAATTATGTTCGATTTGGTAGTGAAATTTTCTGTATTTCTCAGAGTTAAAAAAAAAAAAAAACAATGCTGAAACACAAATTGATTCAATTGTTGTACTTTACATTTTTGTATATCATACGAAAATTTTCTCACGTCAAAACTACTAAAAGTTTAAAACACAATATCGTAATTAATCAAAAAGCATGTTTTCATACACAATCAAGAAACAAAACGGGTGGTGTTACTAGTAGTTCGAATTTTCTCTGAATTCAAAAATAAACTATGTCAATGAAAGTTTAAATATTGTTTAATGTGTTAAATTGATAACTCTGTTGATCAAAATGTGTGAAACTTTATCAAAATTACTATTATATATAAACGGCTTATCTAAAAACATACGTTTTAAAGAAATTGTCATCTGGAGGAGGGGTAGAGTGACAACCGGAAATGTTTATGCCTCGTTTTAAAATTTGTTTACTCTTGCAAGTTCCTCACTTCCGGTCGGTGCCTGTTGCTTAGTGCACATAAACAAAAAAGAGTACATGTACAAGATCAGACGATATCATCTTTGTTTATACAACCCTTGTCGCTGAAGTAGATGGAATGGCAAGAATATAGACAGAACTCTTAGATTATGCCAACGGGCCATGTTCTGCCCGGATATGGGCAACCCGTAACTTACCTTAGAAGGGCCAAATCGGCATATCCTTTGGACAAGACTAAAATAAAGGAATACGCAGCCCTAAATGTTCCGGCACCAGATAGAAATGAACTTCTTCGCATTAAAAACCAAGCAAAGAATCAATGGATGGGTTTAGACAGATCAGCAACAACCTACGACTTTCAATTCAAGTACAAGTATCTCGATCAACCTACCCAGTCAAGACCAACTTCGCCGACGAGGAAAAATAAACCACATCCACCTCTGTAAGTCAAATCTAAATCATATACAACTGAGTATTTCTTAGCTAATATCATTTGAATATCTGATTCATTAAACCACGAAGAAATGAAGACAACAACATTTAAACAATATAATTATATTCCCGCGAGCATGTTTACAAACATCTGTTTAATACTCAGAAGTAGGGAGGTTCAAATCCTGTTCTGTATCATTTATCTGTGTACTTTGGATCACAAATATATCCATCCTCAAGCTACTATCATTACATTATAACTGAAGTTCATATGGACCCCCCCCCCCAAAAAAAAAAAAAAAAAAGAAAAGAAAAAAAAGAAAGAAAGAAACATACTCCTCTTACCTGAAATTTTGGCTGGTAAAAAATATTTTATTTTATTTATTCTGTAAAACCACAGAAAAAGGGATTAACAGATTGGATTATCCACTTTTTAAATAAGCGGGTTGTTTATTTTCACAGAGTCTTCCTTACAAATCGTCTTCATTACGTACCTGGGTACCACAATGCTGATACAACTATAAACAGACCTGTGTATCAAGGTATAGAAAAAACTATGGGAGCTACTTTATTATTATTATTTTTTTTAAATACAGTTTCCTGCATTTTTCTTTTCTTCTGATAAAATAAACATCAAAGAAGCAAACTGTACTTGAAGATATAGAGAAAAAAATTACAATGACTTTAAAAACAATTCTTTAGTTGTAAGAAACCCTCATACCTCACCTCAGCCCTGTGTAAAATGCAAATTTCTTTACTTGATTGAAATCTAGAGAACTTGAAGTAGCACACAAACTGATATTGTGATTAATATATTCATTATATCAACATCATTTTGGAACTTTTAAAGTTGATGCTAGTGTACCCTACGAGGAACAAGCACAACGGTGGGCCATCCGAGACAAATATATCGGCAAACCTAGCGCCAAGGCCATCAACCAATACACGGATAAATATGTAAGTAGGGAATGTCAAACTATTCTTTGCAAATATTAATTTATCTGACAAAATCATCTTCTATGATATTAACATTAATCAAACTGGCCTTCAAGTAATGACTTCGGCTTCAGTTTCTCTTCCCAAATGAAATTGGCATCATGTTCCTCCTAATATTTGTTTTACTAGTGATATTTCACAGTGACATTGTTAGAAATTTAAGTACAAAATCACAAGTGCTTTCTGTGTTTTTCAAAACTTGAATTATTGATGACGCGTTTAATGACTTTCTTACAGGGATACCGGGAATATTTCGACCCAGTAGAAGCGCAGGCTGCAGAGGCATGGACCAAAATAGCAGACGATAAAGGTTCGACATTCATCAAGATTTAGTACTCTTACACTTCTATCTTATGACTATTAAGCTTAATGTTTCAATAGTTTCACACTTTTTATATGACATCTGACAGATTTGTACCAGTTGCCGAACGTTTTGGAGGAACAGAAAGGCAAACACATCACAGAGCCAAACGTCGAGGTAACTTGTTATTATGTACAATGATCAAAGCAAATAGGTTTTTTTTGTGAATGGAGAGAACTTTTTCTCATTTTTTTCTAAAATTCATTAACAGATTCACTCTTAAAAAAGTTTTACTTAGTAGTCATTTTTTACTTGAAATAACAAAGATAAGTAATAGATAATTACTAAGCATTTACTTAAAATTTTAAATCAATTACTGAAATATATGTCAATTACTAAATTCAAATGTTTTACTTGATTTTTGTATTTTAAAGAATTGTTTTACTTACACACTAAAAAATTTTACTTAGTAATTTATATTTACTTAAATTTGTGTATATAAGTAAGAGTATTACTTGGTCTTTACTCACATTTTACCACTATTTACTATATAACTAATATTTATATGCCCCCGTCAACGAAGTTTCGGGGGGTATATAGTTTTTGTCGTGTCCGTCTTTCTGTCTCTCTGTCTGTCTCTCTGTTTGTCTGTTTGTCCGCAAAAACTTTAACCTTGCCCATAACCTTTGATTTAGCGGAGCTATGACTTTCGTATTTCACATGTGTATTCTTTGTGATAAGACCTTTCTTTGAATAACAAATTTGACCTTTTGACCTTGACCTTAGAGTTTGACCCACTCTTACACAAAAATTCCAAACTTTTTCTTTAGCCATTTGAACAGTAAATACCAGGACATTTATACTTCACTGTATATATTGTTTGTTGAAAGACCTTTCATTGGATACCAACAACCAAAACCTTTTGACCTTGACCCTGGAGATTTCCATTCTTGTGAAAAAACTTTAACCTTGGCCATAACTTTTGAACGGTAAGGGATAGGGCTTTCATACTTACATATATGTAATTCTTGTGAAAAGACCATTCATTGGATACTAAGAACTTTGACCCTTTGACCTTGGAGTTTGACCCACTTTCAAAGAGCAAACCTTGACTATAACTTTAAAAGGGTTAGGGTTAGTGCATTCATACTTTACATATTTCATTCTTGTGACAAGACCTTTCCTTGGGTACCACCAAATCTGACCCTTTGTCCTTGACCTTGGAGTTTGACCTACATTTCAAAATTGGTAACCTTAACCATAACTTCTGAAGGGTTGGAGCTAGTGCTTCCATATTTCACATCTGTATTTTTGTTGCAGGACCTTTCATTAGATACCAATAACCTTGACCTTGGAGATATCAAGAAATACCAATGTATTAAATTTGCATATAAGAAAAGTTTAACCTTTGCTATGTTGCCATACGGGAGCATCAGTGTTTCACAAATACTTGTATTTAATTGATTTACTTAAAACAATAATTTCTTTACTGAATCAAGGAGAATTCAGAGCAGGTGCAGTACAAATAATTACTTAAATATGGTAGTCTTATCGCTACCGGGATTCAATTATTGAAATGTAATATATAATTTTGGCTTCCATATTAATTGTCTGTGAGGAGGAGTTATCTTTCCTCCAAATGTTCGTTCATGTGAAAAAAAAATCATACTAATAAAAATGCTGTAGTATAGTGCTTGAAACATTAAACCATTTTTAAAATGATCCTTAAAAAGATACAACTTATTCAATTTATAAGGCTTTTGATGTTGGAATTAAATGTTTTATTGTTAAATATAATAAAACAATTACAAAGAAATTGGCAAAAGAAATAGAAAGTATTTTTTCCTTCATATGTAGATTTCATCTTATTGACTACTAAGAGGGTTCAATGAGGAAACTCTCATCAAGAAAACTGTGAATAGTACTCACATTTTGTACTTACAAAGTTACCTCTCTTATCAGTGTTTCTAGTACATAATGTCGAATTTCGTAAATATGATTTAAGTATTTCATTTACTTAGTATTCTGTTAAGTAATAATATTCTAGATTTTAATTAATTTCAGAATTACATTTACTTAAATTTAGTGAACAGAAAGCTTATTATCTCTAAATTAAGTAATGATAATTTACCATAAATGAGTAGTTCATTTACTAAGTAATATAATTCCTAGAGTTCTATTGATACTTAGTAAATCATTTTATAAGTAAATGAATTCATCCTTATTACTAATTATGTTTACAATTACTAACCATGATAGTCATTTACTTGCTATTCTGACTAAATGGATTACTAATAATTACTAGTTTTTCTTAACCTAATATCTTATTTTAAAAACAATAAGTAAAACTTTTTTTAGAGTGTTGGTAAAACTTTCAAGAAAGAAATTCATTCTTTCTAAAAAAAAAAAGTGTGACCGCATGAAAACATGAAGTCACATTTTGGAATAACTTCTTTCACTGCCTTCAAATCTTTGTTGATTGCGGATTCAGGATTGTGCCCCCTCCCCGAGTAGTAGTATATATTAGTAAATATTCTTGAAATTGTCTTCTAATTTTCTATTTTCAGCATGGAATACCCTTAGAAGAACCACAGAGGCCCAAAACCGCACTGGCTTCCACGTATCGGTGGATGAAATACGCAGGTGCTGCAGGTGAGTCTATATAAACTAGCTAATTAATGCATGTACCAATGAGGAGTTACGAAGCTATTTCGTATCTGTTTTAAAGGGGGGGGCTAGCTTTATTTGGGAAGGAACACATGTAAATGTAAATGGGATGTAAAGCTTTGTTTTACATTGTTTCTTCAGTCTACCAGTGATATAGTTATTATCAAAAGTATTCCGTGAATTTTCAATATACAAGTCCTGTGAATCGACGAGGCATAATTTATTTGTATGTATATTCACTACATTGTTATACAGATACTTTTTGTATTTAGAAAATTTGGAATTACATCGAGCACTGGAAGCCATACGAAATAGGGAACAACTGCCAAATATGATGCGTTATTCCAGAAGTGGAATAGGATCAACGGAAATGAGGCGGCGGGAGGACATTGAGGCTATACAGAGGACTCGCTATATCAGCAAACCGTCACGTGGTGACTTCCTCATGCATCCTGATTGGCCGCCTAGTATACCTCATCACCGCGTGGACTAGTTCGCGTTTTAAAGACAATGCTAGCAGCGCTAAAACGCTGAAAAGCAAGAATTTAAAACAATATCTGCTTTTGCCACCTACTGACTTTTATATTTAGGAAGGTACATGAAGCTGAGTGAATTAATACCACTTTGAAAATGTGATGAAACCTACGATTGAATTCTCTCCAAACCCAAAAATACTGAATTCTGCTGAATTTTTTATTTCGTGTCAGAATTTAAATTAATGTATTGGTAATGATCACATCTGCAGGCTTGACTTCATTAATTTGCAAAAGTTTGCGTATTTTATTAGATTAATTCTCCCTTTTTAAAAATACATATACGTAATCCTTTATCTCTGGGCATATATGCTTTTCGTTTTAATTGATGATAATGCAACTGAGGAAAATAACATAAAATTTGGAATTTGTATTGCTTGTTAGTGGTTGATTTTGGTTGCCTTTTTACATAGAAAATTAGTCAGTTTGTGAAATTTTAAAACTAGATAGTACCGTTTGTTGTTGCTAGCTGTTGTGAATTTGATACCTGGATTTTTGTTACTACATGTATTAACTTTATTGACAAAGGTGCCTTACATGGCGAAATAATGCTATATAGAAAACATTTGCCAAAATATTGGACCATTTTTATTTTATTTTTTATAGACCCTCTGAGACAGTTTTTGAGTGGGATTTTTTTTAGATCTCGGTCTTAAAATGTCAAGACTTGTTTTGTTATAGTATTAACGATTTCATGTATAAGAGAATGTTCTCAATATATTAAGCAGTATTCCTGTTTTGATTACATGTTTTTATGTGAATGAAAACAAATTGATTCAATAAATTTACTGATGAACTTTAAATTTCTATTGAGTCTGTTTTTTTCAAATAATGATTTATTTCGTTTTGTATTATAATCTTTCTTTGCCTCCGCCATAAAATGGTTTGGAAGATCTATGGTTTGTCATTTCCGTTTTCCATCCTTCTTTCTTTTATTCTCTCTGACAGTCACACTTTGAGTTTAATTAGTATTTTAAACAATAAGAATATTTTTACAAATTGCATATTCTATGGAATTGCACAATCTATCCTTTAACGCGCTCACATAATAACCAGTTTGATGGGTTCCGTTTCGATCAAACTTGAATCTCACTGGGTCATTTAAACAATAAAATGCTTTCTTTGTTTGTTGTTACTGGAATGAACGGAAGCAGCTGTTGCAGAAAAAATACATAACCCGCGTGAGCGGGTTATGTAAATTTTTTCTGCAATAGCTGCGACCGTTCATTCCAGTAATAACAAACAAAGAAAGACATTTTATTGTTTATATTTATATCTGTTTAAATAATCATTTAAAGTAGGATTAAAAATATTAATTATTGTGTTAATGATGCGAACGTCTTTGTACGTTTCATTGATGGAACGGCCACTGATCAAGAAATCTGTACAGATGATGTCTAATGTAGTTTATGCAGTGATGAACGCAATGGGTTTTCTCAAGAAATAAAGAAGAAAATATTCAGTGGATGTAAATATAATTTGATAAAACACAAATCTACATGTACAAAAAAAAACTTTGAATCGTCTTTTCTGGTTCAATTAAATAGTAGTAAAGAGGACGTTTTTTATAATCCGATCGCATCTTTACTATTCAAGTATGAAAGACCTAAACCCCTCCTCCCAATTAAAGAGCCGAGTTCACGCAGTTTGTGTAGTGTTTAGAGATGCTTGTACAAAACTCAAACATGTAGCACTTTTTGTTGCTGTATAGTCAAATTAAGGCAATGCTGTTTTGAGTAAAACAATTTGGTAGTGGAAGTTGGAACCCGTATTTTTGGCAATCTTTTTAAAAGACGTTCATGCATCAAACACATCATTTATTTATTGATTGATATTGCTAAATCATATGTTATGAGAAAAAAAATCTTGAACTATTTGATAGTATCACAATACTTTTCAGGTTGAAAAATTTGTAATTTTACGGAAGCGTATTAGTGCCACGCAATATATTTTTTTAAAGTTGGTAATTCCAACTTTATTCTTGGCTTTTCCAACTTTAAAGTTGGAAATTCCAACCTTAATCTTGGCTTTTCCAACTTTAAAGTTGGTAATTCCAACTTTAAAGTTGGTAATTCCGACTTTAATCTTGGCTTTTCCAACTTTAAAGTTGGAATTACCAACTTTAAAGTTGGTAATTCCAACTTTAATCTTGGCTTTTCCAACTTTAATTTGAGATCTAGCTCCCCCCTTTTTTTCAGTTTACCCTTTTGTTTTAAACCATTACCAACTTTATTAATGTAATTTGAATATGGAATAGACTGGTTATAAGTAAATTTTCGCAACTTAGATGAGGAGGGGGGGGGGGGGGTTGCAGAAGAGAGGCTCTTTAAGAAGAGCGGACGGGCCCATAGGGAGTTATGGTATAAAACTTGAATTATGCTAAATAAAGTAAAATAATAAGATAAATAAAATAAATAATATATACAAGTATATTGAAATAAATTGGTGAGCACTTTTTATCTGTGTCAGTTTATTTTTACCCTGACCTGCCATGACCTTACAAATAACTTCCAACTTTTAATTAGAATTCGGTATATTTCTTTTGGTCCTCTAATATAATTACGAGTTCAGTGTCAAATTTTTGTTAATTAAAAATAAATGTAGCATCCTATTCTATGTTAATATCAATTTCTCAAGTTATATTAAATAATAAAATGCTTTCTTTTGTTGATAGTACGGGAATTAATGTCGCAGCTGTTGCAAGTAAAAAACACATAATCCTCGTATAAAGAGACTTTCAGTCAATTCCGTACATGACAGGATTTCAACATAAGATATTTAAGAGATCTGACATCTATGAAGCTTTAAAAAAAGAGACCATATCAATTCTGTATATGGAACATAATATTTTCAGTTTGGGGCACTATCAACAACGAACTACCAATATTATATGTCTGCAACTTAATTATTATTGGTGTGTGTATGTGTGTGTGTGTGGGGGGGGGGGGTCAGCACGCCCCATGTACCCCCTCCGGCTCCTACGGCCATGCACAATAAAATGATTTCTTCTAAAATTGTATCTTTCCATTTAAATTACATGTATAAAACGTAAAACGATTTAAGCTACAAAGTATCTCAGCAATATAATACATCAAGCCAAAAAAATTTGGAAAAGCCAACTTTAAAGTTGGAATTACCAACTTTAAAGTTGGATATTCCAACTTTAAAGTTGGAAAAGCCAAGATTAAAGTTGGAATTTTCAACTTTAAAGTTGGAAAAGCCAAGATTAAAGTTGGAATTTCCAACTTTAAAGTTGGAAAAGCCAAGATTAAAGTTGGAATTTCCAATTTTAAAGTTGGAAAAGCCAAGATTAAAGTTGGAATTTCCAACTTAAAAGTTGGAATAACCAACTTTAAAGTTGGAAAAGCCAAGATTAAAGTTGGTATTACCAACTTTAAAGTTGGAATTTCCAACTTAAAAAAAATATTCTGTGGCACTAATACGCTTCCGTATAATTTAACACCCCTTGCCTTCATAGCGACAAAAAGTAATAATATTTAATTTAAGTGCAGAATAGCATTATGATTTAATTTCTACATGTAGTGATTTTGGGTGAATTACAAAAAGATTAATTTGGAAAACCCCTTTAAGCAAAATGCCAATATTTCGAAGCTTTCATATATGGCTTAGCCTAAGACTAAGATTTTTCATCATTAATTGTCTGAATATTTCGACCTCGTGAGGCGACATGCGAGATTTACCACCACTAGCGGGGAGCTTGCATAAGTCGCCTTAAATTGAACCTGTTGCTAGAAATGAACAATTTAAAATGTTCTTCTGATCAAAAATAAGTCTCTCTGAAAGTGTAATAACTTATATTGAAATCTGATTGATAAATTATAGAACATGACACTTACCCCGGTAAGCATCAAGCAAAGCAATCACACGGTATCAATTTACCTAAGAAAACAAACGATTTTTAAAACAGTACGACTATGAAATATGGAAGATTACGAAGTGTAGTCCATTGAAACAATAAAAATCAGGAGTAGAAGCGAACAGGTACCTCTAAAACATCAAAGGCACGAGCAGGTGCCATAGAGAAGTAAGCATCTAGTGTCGACCTGTCGTGCGCTCTTTGTCATGATCGCTTTAACGCAAAATACGTAGACCATTCAGTGTGAAAATAATGGCCTAATACCACCGGGTAAGTTTGAAAATCTCATTCAGCATGCATCTAACTTCATGATTGATTATACCTGGTGACAAGGTCATTGCATCGACAATAAAACTTAAGAAATAATGACTTTAAACAACATTTGAAATCTCTAATTCAACAACTACGTAGAACATGCTCTTGCTTATCAACTCATTTGGCAGACATAAACCCAATAGGCAGATGAAATAGTATATGGTATATTGCCTACATAAGTAAGGGAAGTTGGCAATAGAAAAAATCAGATAAGTTATGTTTAATTAACTCTGAAGATACTAAATCATCCAAATATGAAATATATGTTACAGATCCTGCTGTTTCTTTTATTTCAAGTTAACTTGGAAATATCGATTCAACATATGAATTTAAGTAATTCTAGTATTGTTAATTGATTAATAATGTGTCGTCGATCGATATATCTAAATGTTGAGTTGAAGACTGCAGCGTTTTCTTCTTCTAATGTAAATTATTTTTTTGAAATACACTCTGCTTTTTATGAAATACAAAATAGGTCTCCTAATATTAACGGAGCGCAATAGGTACTTATGAAATTCTGACAGATTGTTGGAACACCTTGTCTCCAAAAACTACATACAAGTAGATATCTTTCAATCGTCTTTTTAATTTCAACATCGGAGTAATTGAGTATACAACCAGAAGTTTGTAAATGACCAATGCCAAGAAACGCATTTATAAAGCTCCATTTTTTGTAGTTTATCCTTAAAAAGTCCTAAGTTTTGATGTTATTGATTTTGGTAAATTTTTTTGATTTCTCTCAATTTTAGTATCCATATATCTGAATATATTAAACTTCTCGAATTCATTTATGTAAATGACGATATACTGACACTACTTCTGAAGTTTCTACTTTTTGCTGTGAATATTTTAGTGAGGAGTCACGAGGGAGGCTTAGTAGAACACTTACTGGAATCCACTATGTATATATATCTTTGTAAGAATTTTTACGAAATTTAGAAATCTGGTGTAGGTATCATCTACGAGCGTACAATGGTAATTCTTTCTAATTAGTTTTAGGGCTAGCTAGGGCAACGGAACCTTTGCAAAGTGACATACATAATTACATTGTGTATGATCTAAAATATGTTCTTATCTGTCGTAGATTTAGGGGGTATTTTCACAGTATAGATCGGTAAAAATCCAAAGAGCAGTCCGATTTATTTTTGTTTTCGAGAAATTAATGCAATATCCAACTATACTTACGTTTTAAATAATTTATGTTCATCATTTCGTATTAGAATTAGTACTAACAGAGAATTACGCACTTTTTATGCTTTTATAACGTTAATTGCGTCTTTTACAGATTTTCCCGAAAAACAACAACAAACATTTATATACGTGTGTTAGAACATGTGATATATATATAATTACTGAGTATGGACTTCCTCCAGTAGTATATATATTAACACCAGTACATTTTGCTTTAGATAGTCGTTTGTTTTACGTAACATACATATCGCGGGTGCGGATGCTAATATTATCAGTTTTTTGTGCATAATAAGCAGTTATTTTATAAAAGTATTATAAAATCAGACAATTTTATATACTAGTATATTACCGGTACTTCACCCTTTTTTAAAATCACATTCTATAAATATGAGTTGTCTACTGCAAAAATGAGGAGTCCGGGGATCCAAATTTTAGTAGAAAAACACTTTTATGCCCCCCTTTCACCCCTAGGGTTAAAATGAAAGTTTCAAAGTCTATATGCAGGTGTTCAAGGAACCAATCATATTTTTAAAAAGAGAAAAGGAAATGACAACTGTTTAAAATATAAGAGTATTTCGAGGAAAAAGAAAGTGTGACGGACTGACGAATAACAATATACCCTAACTTTCTTAAACGAGAAGTTTCTGTCGAGAATGTAGCTCTACTGGTTTGGACTGATGACAAAGGACGCGAAACGTAGCAGTTGGGCTTGAAACTTTGCAACAGCAATAAATAGAATCATCATGATTCTTTTTTTTTTGTGGCAAGATCTAAAACTGAAGGAGGAGAGGTAGCCTTTTAAAAGAATTATACATAAGTTTCTATTTTTAGAAAACATTTTAAAACCAATTTCTGACCAAATTTGATCCATGCACGTAAGTAATGCCAAGAGAAAGATTAGACCAAAGTCAGGAAATACAAGATGAACTATATATATACATGTATGAATCAATTCAATGGAAAGTAAATTAGAGCGGGGAATGGATAGAGAACAATAAAAACAAAACATGTTAAACACTGATACCCCCTTATGACAGCCTATAGCAAAGGTTGAAGTTTCTCAGAAAGTCAAACTCAAAGGTCGGTCAAATTTTTGAAAAACTTAATGTGACCAGTGCTTCTATTTTTTACTTAATTTTGAAACATTTGAAAATCTTTTTAACCTTGCGCTTCTGATTTCTTACATTGTTTTCTTTGGCTTTACACTGACTTTCTTTACTTAATTCGGCGCTTCTTTCTTTTCTAAACACCAATGTTTCTTGTTGTTTTTATTTCAACATAGGTATTTCTTAAAATCAATGTTTCTTTGCATCGATGTTTTCTCTACATTAGCATTTCTTGTCTCTTTACATCAGAGTTTCTTTTTTTTCACTTCAGAATTTTCAAATAAATGTTTCTTTACATCGATATTTCTTTACATGAGCATTTCTTGTTTTTTACATCAGTGTTTCTTGTTATTTTACATCAGCGTTTCTTGTTTCTTTACATCAGCATTTCTTGTTTCTTTACATTAGTGTTTCTTTACATCAGTGTTACTTGTTTCTTTACATCAGCGTTTTTTGTTTCTTAACACCAGTGTTTCTTGTTTCTTTACTTCAGCATTTCTTGTTTCTTTACATCAGCATTTCTTCTTACTTTACATCAGTGTTTCTTTACATCAGTGTTTCTTGTTTCTTTACATCAGCATTTCTTCTTACTTTACATCAGTGTTTCTTTACATCAGTGTTTCTTGTTTCTTTACATTAGTATTTCTTGTTCCTTTACATCAGTGTTTCTTGTTTCTTTACATCAGTCTTTCTTGTTTCTTTACATCAGTGTTTCTTGTTTCTTTACATTAGTGTTTCTTGTTTCTTTACATTAGTGTTTCTTGTTTCTTTACATTAGTGTTTCTTGTTTCTTTACATCAGTGTTCCTTGCTTCTTTACATCAGTGATTCTTGTTTCTTTACATCAGTGTTTCTTGCTTCTTTACATCAGTGATTCTCATGTCTTGACATCAGTGTTTCTTGTTTCTTTACATCAGAGTTTCTTGTTCCTTTACATCAGTGTTTCTTTACATCAGAGTTTCTTACTTCTTTACATTAGTGTTTCTTGTTTCTTTACATCAGTGCTTCTTTTTTCTTTACATTAGTGTTTCTTGTTCCTTTACATCAGTGTTTCTTGTTCCTTTACATCAGTGTTTCTTGTTTCTTTACATCAGTGTTTCTTTACATTAGTGTTTCTTGTTTCTTTACATCAGTGTTTCTTTATATCGTTGTTTCTTTACATTAGTGTTTCTTGTTTCTTAACACCAGTGTTTCTTGTTTCTTTACATCAGCGTTTCTTGTTTCTTTACATTAGTGTTACTTGTTTCTTTACAACAGCGTTTCTTGTTTCTTTACATTAGTGTTTCTTGTTTCTTTACATCAGCGTTTTTTGTTTCTTGTTTCTTTACATCAGCATTTCTTGATTCTTTACATCAGCGTTTCTTGTCTCTTTACATCAGCGTTTCTTGTTTCTTTACTTCAGCATTTCTTGTTTCTTTACATCAGTGTTACTTGTTTTTTACATTAGTGTTCCTTTACATCAGAGTTTCTTGTTTCTTTACATTAGTGTTTCTTGTTTCTTTACATCAGTGTTTCTTTACGTCGATGTTTTTTTACATCAGTGTTTCTGGGTTTTTTTTTTATATCAATTTATCTTTAGTGTTTTTCCTTGTTTCTTTATTACATGTTTTTTCAGATCGTGTTTCTTGTTTCTTTTATTTCTAGTTTCTGTGTTTTGACTTTGATTGACTTTCTTTTTTTGTGCATTTAAAAATCTTCAAAATGTGTTGTCACTTTACATCAATGTTTTGGAGGTCTTCTTGTTTCTTTATTGTTTAATGGACTTTTCAGCATGACTTTTCGTTATCTCTGTATATACAGTATTTCCTCAACATAACCTGGCACACAAGAAGATTATACTCAGATACCTTATTCTGTTTATTGGTTTTTGATGTTAATAAATGGTATTGCTAAGATTACCAAAATATTAAATTCTGAATATTGGTCGTGATTTCGATCGAAGGTATGATCACGGTTTCCAAAAAATATAAATTTCTGTAAAATACTTTTGAGTCTAATTTGAGAAGCTTCAGCTCCTACATTTTCGGTCTCATTTTTATATAACCCAAGGCACTCAAGACTACACAAAGATACATTATTCTGAATGCTATAGTTTTTTTTCTTTATTGAACGGTGTTGCTGTGGCTACTAAAAATATTTTTCTGTAAAATATTTTTAAAACACTTATTTTCCTACAGTTTGATGTAGCTGATTTTATTATTACTTGTAATGCAAGTAGAAACACTGGTGCACATTTTTGTCTCGTTTTTATGGGTATATAGTTTTTGCCCTGTTCGTCCGCTTGTCTGTTTGTCCGCAAAAAAGACGACGGATTTTACATTATTTCCCGATCATGACAAGGAGCACACGCGGGTGTAACTTGGTCGGCAGGAGATGTTCACTCCTCCATGGCACCTGATCCAACCTCTGATGTGTTTGCTCTACTCCTATTTTGTATTGTTTCATGGAATTTTGAGCTTGCAATTGAATAATGCTCGTTATCTCCATAAACGTGTACTAGTATTCCATCAATAGAAATCAAGACAATCAGTTACCCTCTTTAAGAATTAAATATTCCTCAATCTACCTCATCAGAAACGGGTCGATACATTGAATGAGAAGGGGGTTCCTCTTTTTAAATTCTTTCAACCGTAAATTACCAAGCGAACTGGTCTGTCGATTACAGAACCAACATATATTGTCCTGTACCCTTCTCCGATTGATATCGTCGTCGATAGGAGAAGGGATGGTGCTGGTTTTAATCAGACTGTAACATTGTAAACTTTCCCATGTATATTATAATATTAAAATGTCCTTGGCGTATGTCTGGCCTAGTGGTCAAAATAATTACACATGTAGGTTCAGGAAAAGACGTCTCATATCACGCACGATAGAAAGGCATTTTATTTCATATGCTGGGGAATAGAGTTGTCTGCATTACAACCACAGAATTTATTGATGCATGCAGACACACTCACAAAAAATCCTTACATAATCATGTTAATTATTACGAAACCCCAACACGTGTTTGTCCAAGGTTCATTTTGATCGACTGTTGTAATTTTAGACCCGGTAGCTTCAGATAATGAGCGCGGTTATTATGGGGTACTATTATTTCCAGGGCTCTGAAAAGGCTTATTCAAGAAGAGTCTGAGAGGCGCACTCTCCTTAAAGAATTTTTTATAACCAAAAATATTTATAAATACCCATTGAAAGGTCTTGTCACAATAAATATACAACAATGCCCAAGGCCTTCTGGATTTTTTTAATTATTAGAATATCGTAACATGTTCAATCTGTGTATATTTTTGCTACGATAAAATTATCATCGCATCGATTAAATCTTTTTAAGACCCCTCGAGTTCCTCTACATAATTATAATTTTTGTTACGAAACCCCAGGTGCAATGGGTACACACTTATTCACAGTCACTGCTTTTTATCAAATCTATGATGAGTAACTTTCCTTAATATTCTTTTATAAAATGATGAACACTCCTTCATTATATGTATGTCAATAAGAAAAAATTGTGTGGCGTGATGGGGACCATTTGATTTTTTTAAAATATAATAAATTGACGAATAGCAGCTGCACACAAATTAAATACAAGGTCAAATGGAAATTCCTGTGAAATCATTCTTTCAATGTCATATCTCACTACACTTAGTGACAAACAAACCCATGTGAATTGTCTTCATAACTGAAGTTAAAGGGTATGTTTAATCCCTAGAAGTCACACAAAAAAGTTGTTATATACTCCTCCACTTCGTCCGTCCGAATATAAATCAATGAAGTGCTAAATGAATAAATCACAACACATGTCAAATTGGGACGCTGCTTGCTAGTGCTTTTAACCAATTGTAGACCGGTAACACATAACCATTCATAACGAATTCAGCTGTATAGCCCAAAATTCATTACACTACATTGCATCACCATCAGTCAGACTAATCTCTAAATCCTTGCGAGCGCCGTGCTCCCACATTGCATTCTATTTATACCCAATAAAACCACGTGACTTTCAAAGAAACTTTTCGAACAGCTACATACTACCATGCAGCACATAATTAACTTTCTTGTGTCAGATTTCTCTGGTTTTGGTTTGCGATGAAGATCCTTATAAAAACATGCCCTTCTTGAAAGGATAATTAAATGAAGCTAGCATCTAAATGGATATCTGCTGCACACACATGTAGAGATAGTTTTCTTTTTTTGCGCATGATATCAACTCACCCCCTCTGAATCAGGAAAGACAACTACATCACGCAGTCGTGATGTCTGTGTCTAAATAACATAAATAACATAGTACATCTCAATTAAGTTATTTTTTATTTTATTAAATTGATGTGAAATAAATATATCATTATTGGAAAATGTTTTAACAACAAAATGATTCTCTCCAAATGTTTCTGGATCTGCCCTTCATGAAAATGAAAACATTTTACCAAATATTCACTCATAAAAAAAATGAAAGTGTTATGGAAAAAGAAAAATATTTTAACTTGCTTTACATGTTACAATGAACAGATTGTCATATCTTACACTACTACATATTCATTTGTAAGTTTTCACTTACAAAATAAAATCCCTGAAGTACCTTATAAATGGAATTTTTAGTGAGATATAAAATTACCAATTTGTCCTTTAAATCCGCATTTTATTTTGAAATAAAATGAAATATTTTTTGCAATTTTATGGTGCAAAGAAAGAAAATGGAACCTCTAATGCTGAAACAAATTGTTAACAACATTTAATTTTGGCAAACAAAACACCCTTGCTAAAATACCCCAGAATTGAATTCTCACTAAAATTTCTGCTTATACGGTAGTAAGAATAAATTTAATCACTTATCTTTTTTATTATAAAATTTTAAACAATAAAAAAAATATGAATAAATCTTTAAAAAAAATCAACACTGACGTCTTTGTTAGTTTCATCTGAAAATTCAATTTGGCTTTTAGATAAAAGTAAACAGAATAAATTAACATTTACATAAATAATAACTGGTGTATGAAATGAAATACTGAAGTTTAATTTAAGCTTAAAAGCAATGTACAGCGTAGAGATGACCTACCAGATAAAACAACCATTTCAAGAATGTGAACGAGTTATAAAAAATAAGTATAAATAACCTGACTACTGATAGTATATTATCACAGATTAGGGTACTCATTGCAGATTGCTTATATCTTGCAAGTAAAATAAACTAAAACAAAATAGTTCATGCAATCAGTCAAAATTAAATCAAGTTTTATCAACAATATACAGTAGTCACAAAGGGGGGTTTCAACATTCACTTTCCATCCTACATATATGTACATTTAATTAAAAATGTTAAGATAAATGTAAATACACATGTACTAGTATGCAAAAAAATGAAACTTGCATAACTTTACAATTTATTTAACTGAATGAAAACAATAGTTTCTGGTGTATTTGAAATAAAAATGTACTAGTACATTATATTACCACTAAAAAAATCATTTTCGAATAGTATATGAAAATAATATCCTTAAATTGTGAGAACTTTCTTCCATATGTAACACTCTTCCTCATTTCATACAAAAGATCATACAATATATCCACACTATTTACATGGAACAAAAACAACAGAAAAAATATACAGATTCTGGATAAAACATTCAAGAAATGGATAGTCTTGACAATATATGTAACTGAGGAGAAAATTGTTCAGATTGCCAGCTGAATTAATAAAGCCAGTATTAAAATAAGCCCTATGGTAAACCTGTAGCTGTGAAGTAGGTTCGTAATCGTATGAGGTATTTGGTCTATTAGTCAGAAGCTACGTCTCCTTTTGATGTACTCTAACACCCTCAGGATTCCCTCCAGCCTCTCTTTGTAGGATGTCATCGCTAACATCGTCAGCTGTATACGTGGATCTAGGGGTAGTATGGGTAGAACCTTCCACAGCCACGCCGTGCTATTGGGGTTACCCTGGTAGTCACTGTCACAGGCTGGAAATCCCCCAAAATGTCGAGATATCTGATTTCTCTGCATACCTGGCAGATGGTCAAACCAGGATTTGACTTCCCTGTATGTTTTTTCTTGTAGTTTGTTAACGGCTGTAAAAAAAAAATTACTTGTTAATTTTATACTGAAGTTTTCAGAAGTGAAGATGCCAAGCAAATAAAGTGGTAGAAAACAAATTTATAATGTAAATCTTGTTAGTGTTTTAAGTGACTTTGATGAATATGAAAAATAAAAGACTTGAAAATTTAATTCAAAATCTTGCTCATACCTTGCACATCATTTTCAGATACGTTAACGTCTCTCAGAAATTCTACATTGGCGGTGTTGTACCCATCTCTGTGTCCTCTGGATAAGACTTTAAATCTTCGCCCTCCTATACAATCCACCAGGGACCTTCCATCGGGGAAGAACTGAACATCTCGAATTTCCAACATACAGCCGTACTCTGAGAAATCATCTCTGTAAAGGACAAAAATTGTTAGATGAGTACTGTGTTTATACTGTCATATAAATTTTCACGATTTTTTAATCAAATTTTAAAGATGGAGAAATTCTGATCAAGGACAACTTACTGGTCGTCTCCCATAGAGATGCACATGCCAAACTGTCGAGTACCAGCCTCCATACATTGTCTGACCATCAGACGATACCGCGGCTCAAAGATGTGGAGGGGACAGGTTACGCCAGGAAAGGCTAGCGTGCAGACAAATATGGGTATATGGTGTTTCTCATCTTCTCCCATTCTGAAATAATAACAAAATATTATTTATTTGCAACTTCCAAGAATTCTGATCAAATGTGTTAATATTACACTTCTATAGCTCTCAATCGCTATTAAAATAGCATTTCATTTCAAAAACATAGTGACAGGTCTCCTTTAAAGCTTGGATAAAAATTTCATCAATACTCAAACTCTGGCACATGTGCTGACTTACTTTGCAAGTTCAACCAATTCATCCTCATGAATCTTTTTTCTTGCTTCATGTTCTTGAGGGAAATAGGTTTTAAGAATATTTTCTAATGATTCATCTCTGGTTTGGCGTCTCTCGGCTAAATACTACAAATCAAAACAAAAATTTTATTATTCCAATTCAACTGTACGTCATCTTTCATAAGAAAAGAGAAAATACAGAAACACATTCATACCTCAACTAATGAGCCTTTACAAAGAGGACAGTTGCTTTGGTGATCTAGACATCTGTCAAGACATTGTCGACAGAAGGAATGACCACATGGGGTGGTGACCGGTTCGTGCATCAGACGATAGCAAAGGCTGCACTCAAAGTCATCAACATTTACCAAGGCCTTGCTCACATCCATTGGTACAAGTTCTTGAGCCTCTGAAAAGAAAACATCTACATTTTAAATTTTTATTCTCCCTGTAATTAATAAATAAATATAATCTTAAAAATCATGTCTTTTTAATATGATTCAAGGAATATGTATAGTTTCCTTTAATAGATTTTTTTGAGATATGTATTACTTAAAAATTTATTTATTTAATTTATTTACTGTGGATAGAGTTATTGTTTTTATTATCTTTGGTTGAATTTCTATACATACTCTGCTGCTTCTGTGGTGTCTCCTGAGGGGATAATGGCGGTTGAGTGGTGCTTGGTTCTCGTGTACGCTTCCTGCTGCCGTCAGTGTTTCTGCTGTAGGGGGATTGGGATCTTGATCGGGCTCCTCTTAGGAAACTTACCGGGGATTCTCTTCTGCTGCTTGGTTCAGAAGCACCTGAAAATTTCCAAAACGACTTCCTTGATGCCATTTGAAATCTACTTGAATTCTTCTTGAAATTTGAATTTTTTTTTAAAGTATAAAAGATCCTTAAACTATTACATACATTTCTGTGCAGGTGTTGTCTCTGCATTTCCATCTCTTCCTCTGGGCACCTGCTCCAAGGAACTCGGCTCATCCTATCAAAATATAAGAAAGATAAATGTTTTATCTTTCTTTCATGCATTGAAAAACATTTTTGAAAGAAAATAAAAATATCTATAAAATATCCTTATCTATCAACTCTTTTTCTGAACCTGCCAAAGACAAGAAGCACTTTTTTTAGCTGGTTAGTTGTCTCTCCTTTACTTTACTGTTGCAGTGTCCAGCTTTCAGCTTTGAATTACTTTTCTAAATTTAGTACTGATGCTTGGAACCACCACAGAACAAAAATTGAAAAAAGTTATTAAGCAAAAGATCTATAAGGTATCCTTCTTTACTTAAGTAAATCAACATTTTAAGAATATTTCGAAAATCCAAATATGTTCAAAGGTTACCTTATCAAAGCTTGGTTTCACTTCTGTTTGCCCCAGTACAAAGTTTGTTGCACTGAATAGGGTTTCATCAATGATGCCTTTGAGTTGATCTAGCTTGTCCATGGTGATATGAGGTAGGAGGAGAGCAGAGCTGAAGTTGGCACGGATCAACTGGGTCAGCAGTGAAGGGTTGAACTGATTCTTCAAGGCTAAAGCTTTCACATCCTCATTCGGAAAAGGTGACAAAATCTTGTGCAGAGACTATAATAATAATGTATATTAATATCATTAAAAATAATATTAAAATGTATTTGTTTGTTTATTTATATGTTACAGGTCCTTTTTTAATATGTTTTATACATACACAGAACAAAGTATTCATTAATAATAATTACATTATATCATCCTTTACCAAAATTAAAAAACTATGCAAGCTTTATTGTTGTTTTCTCTGTCTTACCTTGGAGAGGTAGTCTTTTGCTGATTGGACTTCTGAATCCAGGGCCAGACACTGAAGCAATGATACAACAGCATCCTCAAACAGGTTCATGCCAAACTGAGCACACCCTTTGCGGAAGTACCCCTGCAAAAAGTAGGTTTAATTTTTAATAAAAATTGCAAACTGAAAAATTTAACTTTATATAGTTTTTTAATTTTCATAACACTAATCTACATTTTTCTTCACCATGTTCTGTTTCACTGTAAAATTTACACACATTGTTCTATTGATACATACTTTTGGCCAGTCGGGACGGAGTTCAACAACTTTCTCTGCATCCTTCATAGCCTCGCTGAATCGATCAAGTGAGACATAGGCGTGGGAACGATTGCTGAGTAACAAATGATCATGTGGCGCTAAAAAACAATAAAAAATACAGGTACATTATTCTGTGTAAAATGTATAGTAAGCTACCTTCAACAAATTAAAAATCAACAGGTAACACAAAAGATTCTGTATACTGATTTTTCTGATGAATAAAAAACAGTTGCACTTTAATTACTATCTTGATAGCAGTGTTGTATATCTTTGATATTGGAATTTTCAATAATATGAAAAATTCAACTTTGAGTCAATTTGTTATAAAAGTCATCTGTACTCGTAATTGTGTATGGGTTCATGAATAAGACTGTCTCACATAGATTTAACATTATTTCTGGACAGCATTTTACAATAATGATCATACTGGATTTATTTTCCTTTAAATGCTCATTTTATTTCTGTGTTTATTTCTACAGAATGACTTGTCACATTGTTTTTCTTTCAATGACAATATAATTATCACGATTAACACCAAAAGGTGAATAATTAGCCAAATAAAGTAACTTCATGATGAAAATAAATGCTTAGTAGATTTCTTCTTTTTCCCTAGTTTCAGTCTTGAAAAAGCATGCAGTCATGCTTGTCATCATATACACAACGTACAGGGAAAAAAATTCTCACAAAATGTGCATAGTTAATATTGTGATAAATTTAATGACAATTAAATGAAAAAAAAATCAAAAATGTTGAACTTTTAATAAGAATAATATCAATATAAGATAAAATTTTCTAACAGTTACATTTAAATACAGTAGTCCAAATTTAGTTCTTGGCGCGCAGCACTGTACATTATCATTATTTAACTTTATGAAAATATATTTCATTGTTTATAACTTATTAATAAATACATTTCAATAATTTTTCTATAACTAACTTATTATTGGACTGTTGAAAATATCTCAATTTATTGACATACCCACATGGCATATTGCTTCAAAAATTTTGCCATAATGAATAGAATATTAAATCATCTTCATATGTTTATTTTCTATATGGATAAAAGGCATATATTTTTTAATTTGGTAATTTATTTTCAATGTCACTCCTTTTGTTATTTTCATAGTCATTTCTTAGCATTCTTGCTTTCTAAAAAAGTTTTTATGCACTGCTATATGCCGATGGAACATATGTGTTTATTAAGGTGTAATTTCTTCCAATAACACTAATAAACATTATAACTATAAAAATATGAAGAGAACTTACACAGCATGAATAAATTATTTGACTATAAATAGATTTAAAATCATCTCCATTATCTTTATGACATCGATAGCTGTCCAGCTGTTTTGCTCTTGTTGTGTATAACTTGTAACAATGGATCTTTTACTATGAAAAAGCATAAAATCTAGAGGGTGTGCAGACAATATCATTTTGATGCAGTGATCATTTTCAACTTTGCTGTTTCATTTCTGAAAACAACTCAGATGTATAAAATCCCTCTTGAAAAAATATTTTTTATGGTTCTCAATTGCAATTGCAAATGTTCTGAAAGTTTTGGGGCTATGTATAAAGTTAGAACAGTTACTCCTTGAATGAAATGACAAAGAAGTCCAGTTCCGGTTAACACGTTGGTCCTTGGTATATAAGATATTTTCTAGCACAATGTGAAGTAATCATACTCCAATTGCCTCACCACACCTCACCGTATGATCAATAACCAAACAATGGAATTATATGTTTTGCTCTGATTTAACAAACAGCATGAATTTATGTATAATAACTTATCTTGCTTTGAATTGTTTTATTGACATACCCACATGGCATATTAAAAATTTTGCCATAATAGTCATTTAATTCATCTTTTATGTTTATTTTCTATATGGAAAAAGAATATATTTTTTAAAACTTACCTTTTGAAATAGCATTTCTTAGCAGTTTGCTTCGAATTGTTTCTTAGCTGCTATATGGAACATATTTTAACCAAGGTGGGGACTTCTTCCAATAACACTAATAAACATTATAACTATAAACATATGAAGAGAACTTACAGTGTAGACGATTATATTACACAGAAAAAATGACGTAAAAACATTTCAGAAGGTGCAGAAACCTGTCTTTTACATAAAAGAGAGCTTACGCAACCAACTAAAATCAAACCGAAAGTAGGCACATGTGTCCTACTTACACCGGAAGTTAACTTATTACAAAACAATCATCTTCCGGTCTCAACAAAATATGTTTCATAACAAATTCAATACTTACACAATTCGATGGCCAAGCTGTATAGTTCTATTGATTTATCAAATTGTCTTCTTTCAAAAAATTTATTTCCTTCTGCTTTTAAGCGGCTAGCCTTGCTTTCATTAGGAAACCAACTTTCTATTAATCTTGAAAGAAGCACATTAGACTGAAAACTTGAAGTTCTCACAAAATGATGACTTGTACCACATGTTCTACATGTTTTTGATTGATCTCTTTCGAAACATTTCCTACAATAAGTATGACCACAAGGTATTGTCACTGGTTCATTAAATAATCCTCTGCATATAGTGCATGTAAACATGCAACTTTTGCTCATGTTAGCACTGGTTGCAATATTGTCCTTTTTCACAGTGTTGACTAAAGCTGACACTAGACGGTTTAAAGATGATGGTGAAAGATTTCCAAGTCTGAATGCACTGGCATAAGCATCAAAGGCCTTCTCAAAATGACCACAACATGCAAAACTATCAGCTAGTCCCATGCACAAATCCAGAGAAGGTCCGTTTTCTTTAATTGTTCGTTCATAAATTTCCGCAGCCAGTTGAAAATTTTGAGTATTAAATGCTTCTTTCGCCAAGTCAACCATCTTCACATTGATACTGGTTACTGCGTTACATACTCAACGAAACCATCGATGTACTACCAATAATACAGTCCCAACTTATGTAACATCACGTGTTACCGTGCTGCTCTCTGATTGGTCAAAAGTAAAAATTGTAAGGTCGCAGCCAGGTTTGTTATGAAAGCATTTATTAAAACTTATTTGAAATATTACTTTACACAAAAGTGCATTAAGTTAAATCAGCATTTTTACTGTAAGAAAAAAAAAGGTTTTATTAACAATTATAAAAAAAAAAACTACTCATCGACCCAATTTATATTTTGGAAATCAATCTGTTAATTTTAATGATTAATGAATTTTATTTTATCTATTTATTTTGATGAGGATAAGTTATGAAATCAAATAAGCATTTGTCTGCCAGGGTACAATGTTATATATATGCTTAGAATATTTAAAGCTTTAATGTGTGGAATTTATTTACTGCCATTATGTAAAAAGGATCGAGTCATCACGTTCGTCACAGACTAGAATATTTATAATCAATATATACTATAGCTGTGTACTCCTCTTAGATGAAAGTTACTGGGTGTTTAAAAGACCTTAAATTGAACATGAAGTTGATGAAGATATTCTGGCCTGCAAACCCGAAGTGTACACAAAAACTGTTTATGAAAGATGTATATAATTTACACGGACCTCCAAACGTCAGAGGTGGGATCAGGTGCCATGGAGGAGTGAGCACGTATTGTCGACCGGTCACACCCTTCGTGTGCTCCTTGTCATATGGGAAAAATATTGGGAAATAATGGGGGAAAATCCGTCCACAATTCAATATGTAGGCCTATATAATGGTCTAAAAATTAGTATGAAATACGCCAGTCAACATTTGACAAATTGATTTGCCGACAAGGTCATTTATGAGGCGCCGTTTTGGTATTTACTGGCAAAAAGTGATATCACCTATTCGAATAAATGATATCACTTTTTTGGCAGTAAATACCAAAACGGCGCCTCATAGTCTTTGACTCCTGATGACTTTAAACGAGACTGCTGATATTCTTGTTTCATCAATTTCTCAATAATTTACCCCCCCCCCCCTTTTTTTTAAAAGAAATTACATGTAATTGTTCATACGTAGACCCGTATCGAATTAATTGACTGAGAGACACAGACCCCATTCGCGAATTGCTGCATAAATAAAGGAAATTGACGATTTATAAGCTAAAGTCATCACGTTTATCAAAAAGATTGGTTATTACATGTAGATTACCATTAACGATTTTTTTCAAGTAAAATATCTATATATGAAAGAATTGTCGGACTCTTTGGTATCTTTTTTTTTAAGCTCACCGGGATATATCGTATCAACATAAGAAAGGAAATAACTACTGTTTATTGACAATACGTGAATAAATTCTGCTTCATATGAATACAAAAACAGGTTCGTACCCATAGGTATTAAAAAACCACATAGATATTGGCAATCAAAAACTCAAGCATCTTAAATTTTTAATATCAACTTCAGAGTACTTAAATTGTGTTCACCAATCAGAATATGTTTTTTAACAAAATAATTTTGCAAATGACCAATGACAAGGTAAGTGAATTTAAAAGTTCCATATTTGATAAAAAGAAAAAAAAAACCCAACATTAATGATATCAAAAAGCCTGAAAAAAAAATAGCCAAAGATAGAGAAACTTTGAAGTCCCTAGTCATTGCCCTTTTTCCGCCTGGTGCAACACTCGTTGAATTATAAAGCCTAGGTAGGTATAGATACAATGTATAAAAGTGTAAGTGGATAGGTAGGTAGTTATTTACGTAGGTATATTAGTACATATTTCACATGTAAACTGCACATATCTACTTTTTATATGTGAAAACAATCGATTTTTGTCAGAGTTTTTTAATTAACAAGATTTTCACAGACACCGATGCCCTATGCATATATGACGGCTTTTCAAACTCGAGTAATGGTCTCTTATGGCCAAGGTTAATATTTTTCAAAAGTAGGCAAATGATGTTCGTACTTAAAGAAAGTCTTGTCAGGAAGAGAGGCGCAAAACCCCATGCATTTATTGCTCAGGAATTGTAAATTTCTTATTAATTTTTTACGGTCAGACCAAACCTATTCGATTACGGGGATACAAAACATCAAGGCAACACAGCTGAAGCCTTACCAGTAGGGCAAAAAGTAAAACGGCGGATGTGTCTGATTGAGATGGGATTTTTACTCCTCCAAGACACCTTATCCTACCTTTGATGTTTCCAGGGACCCGTGTTTTTTTTTACCTAAAGTGTAACCTTTGTCTGAATTTATGAGATTGATCACAATTTGTATAACCTTCACCTTCTTGTAACACCCAGTAATGTACGCCACATTTCTTAAACTCTAAATTCTTTCACTCCCTCCTCCCCTCTCTCTCTCTCTCTGTGTATTTGCATGTATTACTTAACTGCCCCAAAATCATATTTGTAATAATAAGAACATTGACGTTCTTTTTACACTACAAAGCAAAGGTCTTTGACCAGATCCTGATGGGACCGAAAACATTACGCATGTCTTTCCCCCACGTGTCACTTATTTTACGTCTCTTGTACAGCACCAACACATTCCCATAAACATATCCATGTATATGTCTACCTTTAATATTAATACGACTTTAGAAACACACAATGAGATAGATAACAGTGAAAGTTTAAACAAGTGTATTCTACTGTATAAATATCCAGTGTTTACTTGCGAAATAGTGACGCATCCAGGGTTTATTTTATTGAAAATGAGGAAGATGGTGGTTTAGGAATGGAAGGTGAAGGAAAAAATGCAATGGGAAGAAGGAAGGAATGGGAGGAGGGAGCAGCAAGAAAGAATAATATGCTCATATACCACAATGCTCGCCTACGTAACAATTAATTTGTCGAATTTTTAAAAAAATCAGACCATCTTAAATTAAAATCATATATGCTTATACTCACTTCCCCGACTCAGGTTGAAAAATGATAACGATATGTAAATGACCACCAACCCCTACCGTTTGAGTTTTTGAAATTAAGAAATTTGACCAACTATATTAATATTCTAAAACTCAAAATCATTTTAGAAATTTGAATTGTTAAGTGTTACACGGACACGGTCGATGTTCATCTATGTAATCAGGTGTGGATCTAAAAAATCTGTCAAAAAGAAGGAAGGTTGAAGAGGAAATAGAGGTTGTTGCATGTATAACTTACGCTTACTTACCAGAAATTAAATGACAGAATGGCGTGGTATCGTTTTCGAAAGTGGATTATATGAAAAAAACAAGAGGCCCATGGGCCACATCGCTCACCTGAGTAACTTGGGTGATGCAGTTCTTTACCAGATTTCCCCTCTTGCTATACCTATCGTGCCCCTAGCTGCAGATCTGTAGCTCTCCGAAAAAAAATTTATTGATAGACCGGAGAGCTACAGTGCCACCCATTGAAAAAGCTGTATATTTATTGCGCACAAAAAAGTGCTCTCGGTTCTTGATTAATTCTTCAAAATTCTTACCTCAATTGGAGATAAGGAAAGATTTCAAAAAAATGCCTTTATCTTATATCAAGTACTCTCGTAGTTGACATCCGAACGAAGCATATTGGACCGAATTATCTTTGAAACCAAAATGGCAGCATAAATTAGCGAAATGTTCGATGATTACAATATCAGGGCCAGGAGGACTATTAACAACAATTATGAGGAATGTTTGGTTGTGGAAACAGCGAAAGAATATGTTAGGAACACACGGTTAGTAATATTTTGAGATTACAGTTTTAAAAACATGGAGAAATAAATCGAGAACCGAGCGCACTTTTTTGTGCGCAATAAATATACAGTTTTTTCAATGGGTGGCACTGTAGCTTTCCGGTCTATCAATATATTTTTTTTCGGAGAGCTACAGATCTGCAGCTATCGTGCCCCCTACCCCCTTCCCTTTTATGGTTTTAATACTTTAGAATCTACACTATCCCAGGATGCTTCCACCAAATCAACCTTCTTGACCATGACAGAATTCCTATGTTGGCCCAACGTTGGTCCAACGTAAGCAACTTCCATTCACTTTAGTTCCCAAGGAAGGAAGGATCCTGGTGTTGGTCCAACGTTGGACCAATGTTTATAATACACCCTTAAAGAAAAGTGTATTTACAAGTTGGTAGTAGTATGTTGGCCCAACGTTGGCCCGATGTTTGTAATACACCCTTAAAGAATGTGTCTTATCAAGTTGGTAGTAATATGTTGGCCCAACGTTGGCCCATTGTTAGTAATACACCCTTAAAGAAGATGTCTTATCAAGTTGGTAGTATTATGTTGGCCCAACGTTGGCCCATTGTTTGTAATACACCCTTTAAGAAAGTGCCTTATCAAGTTCAAGTAGTATGTTGGCCCAACGTTGGCCCATTGTTAGTAATACACCCTTAAAGAAAATGTCTTATCAAGTTGATAGTATTATGTTGGTCCAACGTTGGCTCATTGTTTCTAATACACCCTTAAAGAACGTGTCCTATCAAGTTGGTAGTAGTATGTTAGCTCAAGATTGGCACAATGTTTGTAATACACACAAGTGTTATTTTGTTTAGGTGTTTAAAAGATGGGATATTTATATAGGGCCAACGTAGGCCCAATTATTATATTGCAATTAATTGATGGTGTCAATTTTATAATAAGCTGCTGAGCTTTACGTTGGGACAACGTTGGCACATTCTGAAATAATTAAGAGGACTTTCTATGTCCATGTTTATCATTGGATGACTGCTCTTGTTTAGATATGATATTTTCAACATTTTAACTTTACACTTAAGTGATCACAGCACCAAAGAGTGTTTTATTCTATTTTTTGAATTGTGTTTAAACTTATATTTTTATTTGTAATAAACCAGATAGCAGAACATCGTTAGCCCAATCTTACATTATGGTTGTATTATCTATGTTGGGTTACCTTTATTGGGCCAACAATGGCCCATCATGGAAGATCGATAGCTGGTTATGTATAATGGTGCGCTAATGTTGGGCTAACTGTTCGCATTATATCATAAAATTATTATCATGAGAGAAAATATTTGTTTGGGGATTGGCATCGGCCCAACTTTGGCCCAATATACCATGAAT